TCACATAGATGCTAATGTACTTATTTTCTCTTTTTCCATACTGTACGGTGATGCCAATTATATCTTTCAACATAGATACCGAAATGGGACTCATCGCGCCTGCACTGAAAAAAATCTAAAACCATTCGTGTTTCTCTTTCGTCATGTCTGTGCTGAGAGATTATTATTATAAGCTCAGCTCGGAAATTCCTCAGGAGCGTATTGAAGCGGCCACAGGATTGTTGTCAGAACTTTCTGCGGTCAATAAAAAGGAGGAATGGGATTACGCTCTTGGAAGATTGATCAAAGGTCTTTCGACCTCGCGCCAAACTGCGAGATTTGGCTTTTCCATGGCTCTTACCGAGCTCGTGCGTGAGCTTGTTTTGAAAGAAGACTATGACTTGTCCATATCATCAATGCTTGATAAGATTGTCGATGCGACACAAGTGTCTAGTTCCATGAAGGGAAAAGAGTTACGTTCTGTTTTATTTGGGCGTCTCTTTGGATTTCAGGCATTGGTCAACTCAGAGTTATTACTCCAGAAAGAATCCTCTTCACAGGAAGACCTTCAGAAGTTTGTACGTCTTCTTGTTGAACTATCAGGAACCAAGTCATGGTTGAGGGAATCTGCCATGTTTACTATGTGCCAGTTTCTTGGGTCGTTCTTGAACTCTGATATGTTCAGTGAGGATACTCTTGTCACCTTTTTACAAGTTATTAGCGACCAGGACTTAACTTTCACTACGGAAGGACTCGCTGTGTATTTGGTTATTCCGCAACCTCTACGCTCGCGAGTTGCGCAGAAAGTGACTGGAGTCTCTCTTTGGAAAAACGGGGATCCGTTGAGTTCAGGTAACTTGCAAGTGTTGGCTAAAGTGATGAAAGATGTAGATGTCGTGTCTGATGAAAGTTCCGAAGAGGCAGAGTCGAGCAACAAGAAAAACAAAAACTCAAAGCAAAAAGGAACTTGGTCGCCTCGTTTACCGTTTGCGTGGGAATATCTAGTGAAGCACTTTGCAGCTAAAGATTCCGATGATGACTCTGAAGAAATACAAGAAGAACATTCCAAGAAGAGAAAAAAGTCTGGATCAAGTTCTTCCAAAAAGAAAGCAAAGTCTGACACATCTGGGGCTATATCATTTAAGGAGTTTTGGAAAGTTGTTGTTGACGAGACCATGTTTGCTGAAAAGTCTTCTTCAGAAAGAAAATACTGGGGCTTCGAAGTGTTCATGAAATTCATTTCTGTCCTTCCTGCTAACCTTGTGGAGTTTCTGTTCACACCCAACTTCATGAGATGCTTGATCAATCAATCTGCCCTACAGAATAGACTCTTAAACAAAATATCGACAAAAGCTATCAACACTATCATTGAAGTGTCACAGGCCGATCTCTCCAAGGTTGTGCCTTTCCTTAAGTGTCTCATCAATGAAAAATGTGGTGGAAGCTGGAACTTTGATCCTATGACCAAATCAAAAGTCACAGACGCTCTTGTTGGTGTTTTGGGCTATGTGGAGGATGTCAACCTGGTCAGTGACTCTCAAGTCGATGAGCTCGTGAATTCCATCAAAGAGGTGTTGGTGGCTAAGTTTGATGAGGCTCTCGCAAGTCAGATAGAACCAGAAAATACCGATGTTCTTGCGCATAAAAAGTCTAATGACAATATCCTCAAATGGGTTTTGGATAAGCTACTTGTTCTCATAAGAAGCACTAAAAGATTTAAGGCATCCAAGTCAAAGCTGTTGGAATCAATTTTCAAGTTCTTGATTCAACATTCATTTTTCAAGGCAAAGAATGCGCCCAGCGTTTCGAGCAATATTTTAAAGTTGATCCAGGATCGTCTCAACTCTTTCTTGTCTGAAGTTATATTGTCAAAGAGAAAAGAACATTCTTGGTCGTTCTACTGCGTCAAGCAAATCAAAAAATTGGAAGACAACGATAAATTTGAGTTGGTACTTGAACTTGATTCTGACCTTGATGCCATTAAAGAAGATGGATTGGAAATGATAAATACAATCAAGGACGCTATGAAACGTGATCAAGCTCACAAGGACCAACAATACTGTTTCGAACTCTTGTTCTCAATGGTTTTAATTCAGTTGTACATGGGTGAGGCTGAAACTGTCGACGTTCTTCAAGAACTCAAAGACTGTTATGTTGAAACATTTAGTGGCGGAAAAGAAGAAAATGACTCTTCTGTGACAATGACCGAAATCATTTTATCCTTTGTTTCTCGCAAGTCATCCTTGTTAAAGAAGCTTTCTACCATTGTTTGGGAGTCTCTTTTGTGCGCCAAAGGTGCCGACGGCAGACTTATGATCAACGATGCATGTTTTGATCTATTATTCGCCATTTTGAAGACGAAGGAGAACGAAGAGGGTCAAAATGCTTTGTTTGAAGGTGAAGACGAATTCAATGCTGCCAGCGAAGATGATGATAACGACGAAGACAAGGAAAATGATGTCGAGGACCAAGGCGAGGATCAAATTAACGCAGAATCTGACGTTGAAAGCAACAAGTCTATCACGTCTGAATCAGAAAGTGATGCGGATGATGAAGACGAAGGAGAAACGGATGCTGATGATAACATTGAGAAAAAGACGAACATTAAATTGGCTAAGGCATTAGGCATACCTACAGAATCGAGTGGAGAAGTGAAGTTTGATGAGATTGATTCATTTGGCGAAGACGGCGATGATTACGAGTCCGAGTCTATGGACGATGAACAAATGATGGCCATTGACGACGAACTTTCAAGAATTTTTGTTGAAAGAAGAAACGCTCTCTCAGCAAACAGCACCAACAAAAAGAAAGCAGAAATGTTGGAGGCGAAGGAAAATATTACCCTTTTCAAAAGTAGAGTACTTGATTTACTTGAAGCTTTCAGCAAGGAACAACCCAATTCCATTTACAATCTCAGTTTCATTAAACCTATAATTACACTTATGAATCTGACGAAAGATAAGAACTTGGGTATGAAAGCACACAAGCTTTTGAAGACAAGAATCAGCAAAACTAGAATTACACTAGAAGAGTTTGCGCAATTGTATGAGACTGAAGAGGAAAAATCCAAGTTCAAGAAGACCCAAATCGAGACCTTGGAATGGCTCCAGTTACAAGCTGGCAAGTACTCCTCTAATCAAGCCCATGCATCGGCTTGCGGACAATCTTGTATTATTATCTCTAAAGCATTGGTTTCTATCGATAGTCTGTTGTTGGAGACTATAATCAACATCTATACAAGAACGTTGTTGGTTTGGGCCACTGAGCTGAAAAACAGAATACAAGCATCCATGTTTTTCGATTTCATCAACTGGCTCAATTCCAAAAGAAGCAACCACACATAATAGACGTCTGGCTTTCCGGGTGCAAAACATGTAGATATACACTTATATATGCGCGCACATCTAGGCACGCGTACGCGTAAATGTGGTCACCAATAACAGAGCGCGACGAGCACCGAGCCCGAAAAACCAAATTCAAACTCTCACTAAGACTAGCTTCTCCTACTAATTCCGTCACAAAAATGTCTTCTTACAAGCAAGCTGGAATCACCTTGAACAAAGCATTGGCTATTGCAGCTAAAACTGTTAGAAACTCCTTGAAGGCTGAGTTCAAAGTTGCTGCTGAAAAGAGAGGTATCACTGAAGTCAAGGTTTCCAAGTTTGAAAACGGTGTCGCTTCTGAGCCAAAGAACTTGGAGAACTAAACTCCTTAGATTCAATTTCTCCACGACGTCAAATAGCGATATATCAATGCATGAAATATATTCTGGACCTATGTAACGCAAAGGGAGCAGAAGGTTTGGAGGCATCAAGTTACATGAAGAAATGCATTTCAAACCTTTAATAAATAAAATGGAAAACCTATGTACAAAAAGAGAGCTGATATTTTATGAAACGATTTTGGAACTGGGTGCCCTGGCCTCGTTTAGTGTGAGCCGTCTCTCATCTTCTAATTCTTTGGAGATCTGTTCAATGAGCTGGGCTCTAGTTTCATAGGGTAAGGTATCTAGCATAGAGCGGATAGTTTCCACCCCTGCACCCTCCTTTTGTAATTTCTCAAACATCTCTGCCTCGTGGTCTCGCTTGTCTTGTTCGTCAACCTCATCTTCGCTAATATGTTCTTCCTGTTCTTTGAATGTGTTCTCGTCGAGAAGTTTAGATAATTCCGAGTTGGGATCGCTAAACAACGCAACGAAACCACCCTGTTCCACAACCTTTCCCTGCTTTCCTAAAACTATAACGTTCTCTGATTTTGAGATCGTTGAGAGTCTGTGAGCAATGGAAATGATAGTCATTTGGCCCTCAGATGTTACGTCTCTTAATGTATCATTAATAAGACTCTCCAGTTTCAGGTCAAGTGCCGAAGTTGCTTCATCAAGAATCAAAATCAACGGTTTCTTTATCAATGCCCTAGCAATGGCAATTCTCTGTTTCTGCCCACCTGATAAAGATGCACCTCTGGACCCAATTACCGTATCATATCCATCGGGAAACAGTTCGATGAAATCATGACAGTTTGCTTGCTTGGCAGCTTGTATAACATCGTCCATAGTCAACTTGCTGATCTGTTTCAGAGTCAATCCATACACGATGTTCTCCAAAATTGTACCAGACAACAAAATGGGCTCTTGTTGGACCGTACCAATAACAGAACGTCGAAGATCACGGACCTGGAAATCATTGATGTTTTTGCCTCCAATCAAAATTTCTCCACTGTTGATGTTGTATGACCTCAAGAGAAGTGTAGCGATTGTAGATTTTCCACAACCAGAAGGTGCGACGAAGCAGGTACTTGATCCAGCAGGGATCTTGAACGAACACCCGTTGAAGATCTTATCATTCGGGCGTGTAGGATAACTGAACACCACATCCTTAAATTCAATATCGTTAGATAGGTTGCGTGGTACCCTTTGACCCTTGATGGGCGGGACGCTGTCTTCATAATCGATCAACTCAAAGAGTTTCAGCCCTGCGCCAGAACCTTTCATGAGCTCCATATAAGTTGTCGTGAGACTGTAAAGCGCCAGGTTGAATAATTCCGAGTACATGGTAAACGCAACGACATCACCTGTCGTCATTTGACCATTAATGATCAAATACACACCCAAAGCAATGCATGACAAATAACCAGAATGATATAAAGAGTAGATGGAAACAGAGTAATTTGATTGGGCCAAGGCTTCTTTTTTCGCCACATCAATGACATTTCTGAGTTGAGCGGAATATTTAGAAAGTTCCTTTTGCTCACCCGTAAAAGCTTGGATAAGTTTGACAGAGTTCAATGTTTCTTCACTTACCTTTGTGAGCCCTGCAGTGGCATTCTGCAATCGCGTGGATAAAGCTCTGATTTTTTCTCCGTACCATACGGACCCGAAAGTAATAGGGGGAGAAATCAACATCATGACACCAAAAAGAATCGGATTAATAGAGAACATCATGTATGCACTTATGATACCAAACAAGACGTTTTTCAACCCGTCCGGTAAATTCCCCGTGATTGACCTCGACACCACGTAAGCATCACTAGAAAGACGGGAAATCAAATCACCAGCTTTGTGCTTTTCTTGATCGTAAAACGCAGCATCATGGCTAAGGAGATGTTTCATTACCCGTAAGCGGAGACGTGCAACAAGACGCTCACCCAAGAGTTTCAAGACCCAAATACGGGCCCAAAAACACGCAGCACTGACAAACATGAATGGAACCATCACACCAAAAACAGTAGAATACTTGTATCCCCATATTAAAAGGTCGCCATCTTCGTCTGTGACTCGATCATTGAAAGCGTCAATAGCCGCACCCACTAATTTAACTGAAGTTGTTGGATATAGCACTGCAAAGAATATAAAAGCCAAAGCATATAGGAATAGTCTCATGTCCGGTCGGCCTAGCTTCAAAATCCTAAGTATGGTCCTGAAGTTTTCACGCAAATTCATCCGTTTCTTCGACGCCAAAGCTTTCTCCTCTTCTATGATTTGGTTGCTCTTGGTGCGGCTCTGTAAGATGCGGTCGATCACCTTTTCAGATCCTTCCGATTTAGCAGGTTTCTGCTCCAGATTGTGTTCCGAAGTCGTATTTAGAAGACGTCTAGAGCCGGCAAAGATAGACGAGCGAATGGCCACTTTGGCCACGTTAGTGCTCAATAGCTTGCGCGATCTTAAGAACCTGTGCAAGATTAACCCATTGCTGGAGACCGGTGATGATGATATAAGGCCATTTATGCTGGGTAGAGCAGACTGCCTTAGGACAGGCCGGACCCTAAGAAGAAACATTGTGAAGTATGGGGTCGAGGGTACTCAAGAGACAGATTGAAATGCGCTCAGAGTACAGGTGAATTCGGCGACATCGGACACCTACTGCATAAATTCCAGATGGTGACTGGCAAGCAACTGTTCCTAACAGTACGATGTCACCCCAATATTGTCATTGCAAGTAAACTCGTCGTAGTATAAACTACATGGCACACAGTCATTGAATCTTAAACTTGCATTTGCCGCAATGTAAAATTGCGCCAGTTCTTGGATTTCTTTCCTACTCTATAGACTGCGACTATGGTATCTTAGACTCTTCTGTCAGCAAAACTCTGGATCATTCCCACCTCAGACTCGTCGTATTCTCTGATCTCGACAGATCCATCATCACCCAAGAAGGTATTCGCTTGAATGAGCTGCTTGCGTGGCAATTTCTTGTTGAGAACAGTGTCTCTCAAACAAGCATACTCTTCAGTAACTTCGGTCATGTCGTTGTAGAAAGCAAGACCTTCCTTCACATTGGCAGTGGTTTTGAAAACGTGCAAGGAATGCAAAAAGGCAGCCAATGCATCCACTGCTTCCTTGTTCAACTTCGACTCATCAACAACAATTTCCAAGTCGTCAAAAGTGCCCTCGCTGTGCTTGAGGGACACAACGCCAGCCTTGTGCAAGCACTTGAAGATACCAAAACGTGCTTGCATGTGTGGTTGACCCCACTTCTTTGATTCTGGGTCCCAGAACTCCAAACCAATCACACCAGCACGAGCCATCAAGATAGTGGCGATCAACTTTACATCTTCTTGCTCTTGAGCATCGGTGATGCCGAAAATAGGCAAAACTTCCAAAGGCTTCGACAAAATGAGGTATAATGCAACCAACTCGGCTCTGCATTCTTCGAAAGACCCCGCAGATGCTCCAAACAAAGACCCCCATGTTTCGCTAGGTCCATAGTAAGTCTGAATTTCCGGATGAGCAGCCTTGTCGAAGTTGTACTGACCAGGGGATGTTTCTTGCAATAATTTACCGGTTCCGTGACCCAACAATTCATGCAAGCCAACTTGCACCTCAAAAGCATCATCTCTCCACTTACGGAACTTTTCTTGCAAGGATGCATTGATGAAGGTGATGACTTCCTCCTTCTTTTGTTTCTTAGGGTTGGCACTCAACACATTACCCAAGGAAACGTTCTTGAAGCCAATGTTTAAACGCACATCGTCGTAGTTTGGAATATTAATTCCAGCAGGGATACCGGATCCAGCAAAAGTTAAAACTTCCAAAGAAGTGAAGTCTGGAGGAGTAAACACGTCCTTTTCGTACAACTTGTCCCATGGCAAGAATGGAATCAAGTTGGAGGCGTTGTTCACTAAGGTAGAGAACTTGGCGGTTCTGTCTTGATTAACCATAGCCACCAATCCTTCCCATTCTCCACGAACACCAGATGGGTCCCTGTAAGTTTCAATGAATCCAATGTTGGATTCAACGTATGGACCCAAGTCTTTGACCCACTGAATTTGGGAGTTTTTGTGCGCGTTCATGGAACCAGTTTCAAAAGACTCGACGTAATACTCCACCATCTTTTTCTGGGTGTCGTTGGCAACATATTTCGATGCTTCTTTCATGTGCTCGACAATTTTGGCGAATTCCTTAGAGTGGTCGCCAAACTGGATTGAAAGAGAGGCACCATTGGCCAACTGGATACTTTCTTTCGGATAGTAGTCTGTAGTGTTGGAGGTCAAAGCACTGGCAACAAGAACAACGAATTCTTTATCGGATTTCTTTTGCACTCTAGTGTTTTCAGGCATGATTCCACGTTCCGCCAAAGCAGCGTTGACTGCCTCGATTTCCTCCTTCTTGATAACAGAAGCGCAATCTGGGTAGTATGCGGATAACTGACCCTTTTCTGGCCAGCCCAATAAAGCGAAGGTGGTGTCATATAAAGGAGTCTCCACAGATTTGAACGATTTGAGGAGCTCCGCATCTTTCGTTGCTGCGACAATCTTCTCAAAAGCCTCTTTATCTAATTTGGGAATGAACTTCTTGTCACCAAAGGACTTGTAGTTACCCAAGTTAGACAAGAATTGCGAGGCGTACTCCAAGTACAACGTCACCTGTTCGGCAGAAACCCCTTCACCCAAGGCCTTCACATACTCTTCATTGGACTGTGGTTCACCCAAAGCACGGTGAATACCCAAAACCAAGTCGTAGATGGTTTCACTTTCGGGCGAAACAGATCTCAAGACAGCTCTGGTTCCCCAATGAGAAGCACGCGACAAATGGTGGGCATAAGCCTGCGCTTCTTTCGAAGGCAATTGCTCAAAATGGTTCTTGACAGAGAGTAAGACGATAGGCGCCTCTGAATCAGCAAGAAAAGTAGACATGGATATGCTTTGACGAGGTGGCTAGTTGAATGTGGAGGTGTGGGATATATATGTGGGCAAGTGTGCAGGCACGGACCGTTGCCTCTGGCATGTAAGGCGCCGAAATCATGCAAACGCCGCATTCTTTGGCACATTTTACGGGCCGTTTGAGTGCATGGCTGTCGGTGCCGTTATGCTTGAAGTGATGTTTTCTTCTTCGGCGTTTTTTATTTTTAAATTTTTTTTTTTTTTTTTGTTTTCCTGCTTATTTTTGTACTTTACTATCGCCCGTCTCTGTCTTGTTTGACATACACAGTTTCATATGTGTGCTGTGCGCAGTTCTAAAGTATCATAAGCACACTAAGTAAGCACAAATGTTATATTACATTCGCCTCTGATTACTTTTTAAGTTTCCAGACTGTGTCTTTAAAGTGCTGTAGACACCCAGCTGAAACGCTAGCGCCGAATGTATATTTTGTAGGTAGGTGTCTTGAACTTGGAGATCCGGCATATGCGCACTCACAGAATCTCTTATAGCGAAGCTTGGTGTTTCTAACCCATTTTCATAAACCTCAACGGCAAAGATGGCACGAAAACAAGAACCGGCTTCTGAGATTCCCCCAGAACTGAAAGTATCCGATGAGGAAGACTACAATGAAGACGAAGATGACGATTATGACCCAACAAAGAAAAATCAAGAAGAGGAAAAGGAATCAGATGAGTCCGAGGGAGAAGAACCGGATTACTCAAGCATAAATACTGGCGTAAGCCAAGTGCGTACAAGAACTCAAATATACCAAGAGAATTTGAGCGGTGGCCAGAAACGAGATGCTCGAACCTCCAACGGCTTAGTCCCAGACGAGAGTCTGCGAGCACTTGACGTGAATGCCATTTTCGATTCGCTCAAGAGCGGAGAGGATGATGAGTGGCGCGACGTGGTTAGTCTGGTAGAGCCAGAAACAAAAAAGCCAGAACCAGAAAAACCATTGCTGTTGTCCACCGAAAAGATTCGTATAGAGACCTCGTACACCTTTGCGGGCAAATTGGTGCGTGAGACAAAACTTGTGGATGCTGACTCGGCAGAAGCAAAGGCATATCTTAACTCCACTAGTGGAATAATGAGTGGTTCAGATAAGGGTCCTCGCAGATCTTACGTTACTGTGGTGCGCAAAATACAAGGCACAGAAGAAAAAGTACCACTTTTGATCAAATTGAAGCGTCCGTCGCTTATAGACAAGTTTTTGATGGGTGACAAGAAGCACAAGTTGACGACATTGGAGAAGTCTCGTCTTGATTGGGCCAGTTTCGTCGATAAAAAGAGTATCAAGGATGACTTGGCCCTTCATAATAAGGCCGGTTACTTAGATAAACAAGACTTCCTTGGAAGGATGGATGCCAAACGGGATGAGCAATATAGAAAAGCAAAGGAGCTCGAGCGGCAAAGACAATGGCAAATGGAACAGCGTTCGGGCTGATGTATAGTAATGGGACGATGGAAACACTTTTACTGTAGGTACGTATTTTCGATTCAGCGAAGTTGTTTGAATTACCTAGTGTTACTAGTTCTTCGTGAACTTCACTTGTCTGCTAGACTTTTCATTGCAGTAACATCTATACAATTGGTCCCCACGATTCGTTTGGCCGAATCTCTATTATCGGGCTGCACGTGACACTAGTTCGAAAACTTTTCTGCCCTAGAGAAACCGCTCGCCTGCCTAAATATACAGGTTCAAACGTCCAGCTCCATCATTCTCAAATAGACAATTAAATATTTGCGTCAAAATACAGCGGGCACTCGTCATATCCTGAATGTCCAATATTTTGAAAAGAAAAAACGAGGACATTGAGTCTTCTTCTGACGACCAACTCAACAAGCGTGTTGCTCTAGATAGTGAGCAATTAGAGCTAACCGAAAAGGAAAGAGACAATGCCCAAACAGCTCCCACTGTCAATATTCCAGAATTTGCGCTGGGCGAAGATCGGGGAAGCGATTATGGAGCTGATCATATTCTAGCTGAACTGGGTCAGCTGGAAGAGCCTATACCCGAGTCCCAGAATCATGATGGGGAACAAACAAGTCACACGGCGGAGGCAATCGGCTCTTCCAAACCAATATCGAGCCACAAAAAGGATGACGATGCATCTACGGTCTCTGTTCGAATGTATTGTCCGGTGAAAGAGGCTGCTGCTGTGGTGGGTAAGAAGGGGGAGAAAATCACGCACATCCGAGAGAAGGCCAATGTGAGAATATATGTGAGTGAAAACTTGAAGAACGTTCCCGAGCGAGTGATCTCAGTCAAAGGTTCAGCTGAGGACGTTGCTCGTGCCTTTGGCTTGATTACTCGTGCCATTTTAGAAGAACCTGAAGACGAGCCGGCTTCCATCACTAGCAAACAATACAATTTGAAACTTTTAGTGCCGCATCCAATGGTTGGGTACATCATCGGCAAGTCTGGCTCCAAGTTTAGAGAAATCGAGGAAAACTCCGCTGCCAAGCTTAAGGCAGCAGAGCAAGCATTGCCTTACTCTACTGATCGTGTGTTATCTGTCACTGGAGTAGGCGATGCCATTCATATTGCCGTATACTACATTTGTCTGGTAATGCTAGCGCATAGAGACTGTCTCAAGAAACACAAAATCATCTACTACAATCCTTCCAACTTTCGCCCACAGCTACCTGCCGCTAATCCTATCATGAACATGTCCATTGCTCCACAACAGAATGCTGTTCCGTACATGACGGGAAATCCAATGCAAATGCAGCAAATGGGACCAGGACCAAATCTTAAAGATGCACATGGATCCTACCTGCAAGTCCCCAAACCATACAATTTCCAAATGATGTTCCAGCCCTCTGCTCGCCCTCAGTTCAATGGGCCGCTGAATATGCCCAACACTCAAATTCAAATTGGAGCACAGAACCTGTTCACTGATGAGCACGGGAACACAATCATTGGTGATGTGATTACACAAATGCCTGTGCAAATCAGTTCCTCCCCAGATAAGTTCAGTGAAGATGTGTTTGTCGCCAACTCCAACATAGGCTCTGTCATTGGCAAAGGTGGCAACAATATCAAACAGATTCGTGAAAGCTCCGGGTGCACATATGTCAAGATTGAACCTGACCAAAACCAGTCCATATTGCTTGGTGGAGGAAAAGGCTTGACTAATATTAGGAAACTTACGTTGACTGGTTCATACAACTCCATCCAAACGGCCATCTATTTGATCAACCAACGTATTAGTGCTGACAAGGAGAGAAATGGGATCCAATGATTCACTATTCTATCCTTTGGTCCACATTTCCACAGGTTTGAATGCAATGATCCTGTTATCCGAGTCAATAATGCTACGATTCGATGATGGAAACCCCAAATGTATTCTATTAATCAAGACTGGTGCTTCGAATAAAAATCCCACATCGCTATATTACACACATTTAAAGATAATCGTATCTGCTGGCCTATATTTGCTCTCTCGCTACCAGTGCCTCACGCCCATACTTGTTAAAAGCATGGTAAAGCCACTGAGCAAACCTTCTCCCAAAACCAAACCGCTGCTGACAATGATCATCTTCACCTTTTGGTCAGCATGTCCCTTTTTGGCGTAATTCATCCAGACGTATGCGAGCACGCCGCCCACAAATCTTGCAAGCGTAAAGTTTGGCGTATTATACATACCGATACCCACGGCCACACCATTGGGTAAATAAACAAGATACTTGTGGTACCTTGAGTGAGAAGAGAGTGTATTCTTCAAAACCGAGATAATGCCAAACACGCCCCCGAAAAGCATACAGAATTCAAAAGCATGCGGCGGAAGACCTTCTCCGGTAACAAGTCTGGAACAGTCTATCCATACCACGGCTGTTGGGATTCGAAACATTTTGCTAGGAATCTCATACACGGAATTGTAGACCTTGTACATGATGCTGCTCAAGAATACAGAATACACTGTTCCCACCAATTGAGCTGTAAACTGGGCTTTAGGGGACGCACCTAATAAATGGCCCGTTTTCAAGTCTTGCATTAAATCGCCCGCTTGTTGAGCCCCTGCTTCAGCAATTCCGCCCGCCACCAAATTTATTAAGATTTTGGCTGGGTGGTCATGCGGAATTATCACTGCAAAGATCAATTGAGAAAGTTTCCCAATTCCACTGACGGGATTGAGATCAGTCTCTCCCAATGCACGCACCCCTAGGATAGAAAAGAATAGCGCCAATAATATAGCCATGAAAGTAGCATAGTAAGGCACAAGATCGCCGAATACATCCGACACAGCCCAAAGACAAAGTGCAGATGACAAGACAACGCCAACGACTGTGACTTTATTGCTTACCAAATGCTCCTTGGCGACATCCACGAATGCAGCTGGAGCACGAGCGCCGACTTCTGAAACCAAGCGATCGTCTTCGGAAATCAATGGATCATACTCAATGGAATCATTAAACCGGAAAATATTCAAACGACTAATAGATTTGATAGTCACCACCACAAAAGACACTAAGGAATCTGCTATCATAACACTCAAACTCAACCAAAGAATCCACCCTTGGCCGCCCGTGACCCAATCATCTATTGGTCCCGGTGCCCATCCCAAATGTTTTGCCAACGGAGCGAGCATACCCCATCCTAATACAGCACCAAACAACATGTAAGATACAGAAGGCAAGCCCATGATTATCCCCTGTCCGATATAAGCTGGAGAAGGTTGAAAGTTCCATTGATAGACCTTTGACATCGTACTGCCGAAGATAGGAAGTGATTTCAAAAATGGAAGAAAGTAAGAAGTCACCGTGTAAGCTGCCGATACACAAAAGGTGATCACTAGCGACTTGATATTTGTGCGATAAGTTTTCTCAATATGGTACGCCTTTAATCCATTGGAGTCCAGAGGTCGAATGACACCACACTGAGCAAACGTATCTTCACTATCATCAGAGTATTTGGAATTGCAACTGTGAGAATCTGAGTGTTTGTCCTCATCATCATACATGTCTGTACCATGCAAAACGGAAATTAATGTGGCGGTGGCGCTGCCCGAGGGAAAAGGGAGCTTTTCATTGATGATCACTTGCTTTCTCAAAGGCACTGCAAAGAAAACTCCAAAGAGTGCCAAGCCAAGAGACCAAACCATCAATTGTGATAAACTTAGTACTATTTGCGAGCCTGTGCCACTCTCGTCTTTTGTCAAGAATTTCTCGATTGCTGGTATGATACCAACTAGTCCGTACGCCAATGGACCTGTGCCGACAGCGACAGACACACTCTGAATATACACATTCTCCACATCCGTAAAGTTTCTCGACATGGAAGTAAGTTTGAAGATGGTAAAGCCTAGAAGGGCCGATGGAAGTGACATCATCGAGACCCATCCTGTTTGAAGGCCAAACTGGAAATTCGAGATAAGAACTACACTTCCAATCAAAAGTCCCACGAATGTGGCTCTGAACGTGATTTGCGGTAGTCCACACTTATCATGCCACCTCAAATCTCTGATCTCTTCTAGTGTCATTGCACTAGTGTCTATATCCTCTCCCGCCATAGTAAAAATTGGATGCAAGTATCAGGGACGAAATTGAGCCACAGGTATAAATAAAGTGTAACGTTAAGCCTCAACTGAAGAAATAGGCCTTACTAGAAAGCGCATGAACTTTGAAAAAATGTAGAAAGGAAGAAATGAACGAAATTTAAATGATGACTAAGACTGAGTGTATGGTAGTAAGATTGCGGATTTTTTAGCCCAATTCGGCTCTAGCAGCGGAGGAAAGATGTATAAGCCATAGAGAATGCACTTAACGCTGCAACTGAGAAAAACAAAAAAAAAAAGACACGGGAAAAAGTGAAACCGTGAAAAGAAAACGGAGAAGAAAAAACTTTCAATGAGAATACAAATTGGCAAATGGCAAATAATTTCATGGAAGCTACTGTAATCAATTGGTTTTAAGCTTCCAAGGGAAGCGGCTTTAAGTCAATATGCAATTGAATTGAATGGTCTAACAAACGGTTTAGCGTGCACTCAGATCCACTGATACACCATGCGTTATATTCAGACAAAATCAATCTTAATCTTCGCCATAAAGAAGATACGTCAAAATATCACTCAAGGTAATTACACTAACCAACTTTCCTTGGCCGTCCACCACGAACAATCTATGAAGTCTGGACTTTCTGATCGTGTCCATGATAGTGCTTAATCTGTCATTGACAGTACAAGTATGAACACCATCAAATTCTTCCGATCTTCTCAAAAGGGCATCACCCACACTTAAGTCCAAGTCTGTGTACATTCCACCCTTGACCAAGGCTAAAACGTCAACAGCCTCGTAAACATTAACCAACTTGTTCTCCTCGTTGACAATTGGAATAGACGAGACCGAGTGGTGGGCCAAAAGGTGTATGACTTCAATCACTGGAGTTGCCATTGTACATGTGGAGATTTCTTTCACCTGGCTCAACGTAGCAATGTTCTTGATTGGTTTTAGTAACATCTTGGTCTCTTTGCAATTCAAAGCCACAAACTTCAAGATTCTATATTGTGTTAACACAGAAACGACAATTTCCCGATGTGTCTTCTCGTCTTCGTCGATAAGTGGGATTCTTCTGGCTTTGGAGTGCAACATCTTCACGCAGGCTTCATACAAAGACTTGAATGGATGTATATACACCAGCTCAATGGGGGCAACACCTATGGCTTTTTCAATGTCTCTCAACCCGTCTAAAGTTAACTGGTCAACCAAATCAAACTTCTCTGGGTATTGAAAGTAGTATTGGATAACGTTGATAAAATCACTGGAGGTCAACAATCCAGCGAAACGAGAGGTTTTATTGCTCCACAATGGTGCACTGACAATGTTGTTTTGTAGCAATATGTTCAAAGATTTCTTCACCAATAAGCTAGTGTCCAAAACGATCAACCGGTAACTCACAGGTAAAACGTCATAAGACGTTTTACTTTGCAAGAACAATCTGATGGCTTTTAAACCTATTCTTTGGTCATTTTCAATTTGTTCAGGAGACAAACTCTCAATGTAATCATTTGGTGTGGCTTTTGTGGGACCAAGGGTATTGGCGTCGCTCATGTCCTAATTCCAGATAGAAGAGTCTTGATCACCGAAAATAATTACATGGGCGTTTGCGAAAGGGTAGTTATAATGTGCAGGACTGAATGCTGAGGAGTGGGGAAATATAGCACGATAGCCACCTGAAATATGATTATATATCGTTCGGAACGAGTAAAAAGTTTAGTACAGAAAGGGGCCCCTCGCTAGAATAACAAAATGAAGAAGAGCTGATCCAAAAGGTAAAGAAATAAATAATAATAAAAAAAAAAACCTGAACCGCGTCTATGTAGGGTCAGGGCCGGGAGTACTAGATTAAGCTAATTCACCAAAACTCATTGATATGGCTTTCTTACAATCATTCTAACCCAGTGTCTTTGCAAGCTCCCAGAAACGTAAGAGAGTTGCAGGGGCAGAGAATAACTACAAGTTGGATCTTTAAATCACTGCATGGATGAATATAACTTTACTAATCTATAATACAGAACCACCATACGCTTTAGGCCCATCTGCCCAATAATGCCATTAATCCAGCACCTAATACCATGCACAAGTATGCGAAGATGATACGCTTAGTGCCGTCCGAAGACTTGAACTCGTTGGAGTACAAAAATTCGTGAGCCATTAACTCCACGAGACCAGTGTAAATCAAAATACCCGCCGAAATAGAGTCAAAAACACCGTTTGTGATCAATGCATGTGCCGAGTTTGGTGGGTACGTCTCACGCACACCAAGACCAATGGCGATGGCAATAGGTGTGGTTAATGCATAACCAAGAGCTAAAAGCCACGGCAAAACCCGTCTGTGGCTAGGCCAGTTTGCTGTTGCGATACGAGTACCCAAACCCAATCCTTCAAACAATTGGTGAAAGACAACAACAACATACAAAGTTTTGAATTCGTCACCGGAAACGGCCAAGGTCAAACCAACAAACACCGAGTGGAAGATAACACCAAATTCTAAAACGAAAACAGACAACAATTGACCGTAGTATTGTTCTTTTCCCTGGTCATTGGCTGGGGTTCCGACTGCTTCCTGGTCTTGGTGCTCTGCTGCGTGAGAGAAGTGGGATGGGTATGCATTGGACTCTGTCTTTGTTTGGGCAGTTTCGCCAATCTGCTCCTCATCAGAGTCAAGATCTTTCTTGACGTAGGTGGAGCTTTCTCCAAAATGCGAGTGACTGTGTCCTTCTTCACCCAAACCTTCGAGTTTCTTGTCGATCAATCTGAAAGCCATCAACTCAAAAAAGAACAAGAGGAACAAAGTGAAAAGACAAATTCCGAAAGCATATGGATACACGCTCCAGCCTTCACCCAAACACTCGTCGGATAAAGCTTCATTGGCTGGTTGCAACAAGTGAATAAAAGCCGTGGCCACAATGACTCCGGAACCGAAGTATTTGGCGAGGAAGAAACACCATGAAGGCATACGAATGAATGAGTATCTCGAAGACAATATTGGAAAGAAAGCACCGAAGGCAGAACCAATAAGAATGACAAACACTGCCGAAATACGGGCGCCCATCATACCGTTATAGTCATTTCCATTGTCGCAAGTGTCTCTTCTAGAGAGCTCATATATGGCCGTGTCAAACATTGGATGTGAGGTTGGATGAATATGATGGAAAACTTGAAAAGAAGTAGGTGCGTATTAGGTGACTGATATATACACCGTATAACCACTAGAGTTATGGATAATATGCAATGTAGATGCAAGATACTTTTCTGTGAAAAGTCCGTAGAGCCATCACCTGCAGAGTGCATTGAGACATGCCAACCACCAGGGTAGATTCTCGCTTTTTTAAGCGCAGCCGTCTGATGCCGCATACTAAAATGGGCCCGTAAGCGAATGAGCCGCGTACGTAATATCCTCAATGGACTTTCACGTTTATACACTTTAAGGCTGAAGATTTAAATATTTAGTCTTACGAAATGACTCACACGATGTTTGGGAGAAGATGCTGTCTCCAGACCAGCTAACTCTAGTCATGTATCTCCTGCAGGATTTGCAGAGGAACACCTGACCCCATAATGGTTATGTGTGCCTACGTTTCTAGTGCACAAATAATCAATAAGTAAAATGTAAGAAATAAATTAGAAGAAAAGTAACGAATGAGAGGAAAAGAAGAGACGAGTGAACATTGACGTATCAGATTGCTTCAACCAAAAGAGGAAAGTCTTCGATACTAATACTTTGTAACTGGTGCATTAGACGCAAATTGTGCATGCATATCTAAGTGAAGTCTCGAACGGCGGGACCATCAAAGGCGAGAGCTAGCTGAAAAAAGAAACTAAACAAATATGGTGCTGGGGAGCCAAATTGACTATTGTGTAAAGTTACGGAAAACAAAAAGGCAGAAAGGATAGGAAAGCGATCTAATGTGATGTGTCACTTGTAAACGTAACGGAAACGATGTTGGAAAGACGGAAAATGTTCCTCTGCTATTTCAATGTGCAGCGGTTTTCAATGTATCTGAACAATACCACATACAATGCACCAACACCTTTTTCTTACTGTTGTCTTTCTTGGAACTCATAAATATGCCCGATATGCGTGACTACGACCGTACTCAATTATTACGTACATACAAAAGTTAAAAGCAAAAAAAGATGATTCAAGTTCAAGTGTTGCTAAGGTGACATTGGACTTTCTTTTCTATGCGTAGCAGTTTTCTACTGTCTGTTTATTGCATTGTCCCGCTCGAACGGTTTGCATTGGGACAGTTTACGAAGCAGGTCTGAATTGCCTTGTTAAGCGCTCAAAATGCCACACGCTCGTAAATTTGATTCAAAATGAGAACCACCAAGGTTATACTTTAAATAAATGATGAAGAAAAAAAGCTGGGAAAAGAGAATAAAGGCAAGAAAAACTTTGAAGAAAAACAGAAATGCACAAAAATCACTGGTGAAAGGGCTTGCCCATGAAAAAGGGAGAAACGATAACTTGTCAATTATTTACATCTGGAAATTCAGGTCCATTGTGGGAAGAGATTTGTAATTGTAAAGGATCATGCATCATTGGTTAAGAAGATTGGTCTAACCCTTCTTGCACAGTTTTTTCGAAGTTTTGGTGGTTGTTTCGTTTACTTTAGGTTTCCAAATAAATCATTGTTGATGCTATCTTCTATTTGTGTTGACAACGCTACATGAAGTTCTATGCTGATTTATCGCTTGTGTGATAAGGCTGGACAAAATCGCTATTTTGTATAAATTTACACTTCATGGGGAAGGGTGCCTTACTTCAATGGAAAGTCTATCTTATTCTAGGGAGGGTGTATCATTCTGCAAGGGAAAGACTATCTCACTTCAAAGGCTAGACTTTACTTTGAGGTTGACAAAGACTATTCACAAGCTATGCCTTTGTTTGATTCGTCTCCCAGAAATGACATGCTTAGCATACACCCAAGCGCAGATGATTTCCACTTGAATGATTAGTCTCTTGGTACTTTCCCGAGCGGCGGTGTGTGAAAAGTTCCAGAACTCACAACTTAGGATAAAACAATCTCTTCGTGAAAATGAGGAAATGTCTAACATATCTCATACATGCGCCGATTGTAACTTCCGATCCTCTATTTACTTTGATTATCACTGTGGGTGTCTGTCTATGATTTCCACGTCACTGTATGCCAGTAAGCACAGCCTGTGCTCTGTTGTGTTATCCTTCATTATTGTCGGTTCATGAGAAGTGTTCCAGTTATGGCAATTTGACTTGCCCCGTTCAATGACAGTTAAAAAAATATATATTCATGAGTCCATCGAAATCTTGGGCTGGTAGCTGGCTTCTGGAATACAGGGGAGAGTCGTCACAGAAGAACACTACTGGTTTGTACCCATCCTTGATGAAACGGCGGCATTTTACGCGTAAGTTATACTAATAGGTTACTTATCGCTCTCAGTATATTTGGAAAGACGAAGAAAGTAAATATATGGATTACAAGAATGTGCTTTCCGAAATGCCTCATCTTCCTAGACTACTAAGGCGAAAGTACCCTTGGGGCCTGTGGTTGTGTGTACAACGCGAGCGCATTTAGTGATCACTTGTCTTCTAAACTTCAACCGGAAGTATGCCAGGAACACATTCACCCTCCGACGAGAGATTGGAATCCGCAAGAAAGCGGTTTGAAGAGAAGCAGAAAAAATTGAGGGAAAAAAGCGCCGAGGATGTGCTATCTTCCTTTTCTGGGCACCAGTCCATTCACCAACCTCAACCGTACATTTCTCCACCGCCCCAAACGAAGCATCAACTCACACCCGAAGACTTATTTGGACCTTCATCTGTGCCAGAACCCTTCTATGTTTCTCTGAATACTGGTGTACGGGATCTGGAATCGCCTTATGAACCTATAGTTGAAAATGCAGCACCGACCACAGCGTTATTTGATGTTGATCTGGAAGCACCATTGGCGACTCAAGATGTTCAAGATTCATTTTTTGCTTCGAGTGGCTATCCTAAAGCAGAATTGACCAATGATACTGACAATAATGCTACTTCAGCAAATCCTGAGTTGGATAGAACTAAACGAATGTTACGACCAGAGAATATTTTTGATTTTTCTCTGGAGAATTTGCATGAAATCCCCTTGAATGACACAGAGGATTTGAATGAGCTTCCGCAGGATGAGCTTGTGATCCCAGCTTCTTTGTTGAAACCGGAATCCACGATAAACCTGGATAATAAAGAACCTCAAACTGAATCTTCTTTGTTCACAGATGTTACTGCAACCCAACAAGCAGATCCCTTCTGGGGAAATAGTGAAGATGATTTCTGGTCTTCCACGAACAATAAGTCCCTTAAGGGTCATGAAGTTCATGATAGCGCGAATGATTCCGCTCATATGACAGAAAAGGTTGAACCAGGAGAGGCAGTTGCTACGAAAGAAGCTCAAACTACTCAAGAACACAAAGAACAAGAAACAGAAGAACCACTAGAAGAATACGTGCGGCAAAGTACATTCGATGATTCTTTTTTTGCTTCTGAACCTGAACAAGTGGCAGAGCCTGAACAATATGAGATTGCGGATGAACCTGCGAATAATACGGGTGTATGGCCGACTGACAATGATGCAACAACTAAAGAACACGACGACTTCTTAAAATTGATCAACGATAGACCACAAAAGTCGAATCTGTCGCCAGATGAGAAAACTGATACTATTGACATCAAGTCTCAATCTACAATGAGAAATGAACCTATATCAGAAGTCTCAATTGATTCAGGAATTCCAGATGAATATGAGCAGTCGACGGAACAGTTTGGTCTTCATGAAGTTGAAAGTACCACAGCTGACACACCACAAAAGGATTCAAATGTGTCTCACTCTCAACTTGAGAAAGACTTAGCTGAAGCAAGAGCAGAATTAGAACGTCGACTCGATGCTTTCAAAGAGGAACGAACAGCACTCGAACATACGATCAAGGACCAAAGCTCGACTATCGAGCAACTTAAGTCTAGGGGACAACACATGGACTCTCAGGAGAGCAATGCTGCTATTCAACATAAAGCTTTATTGGACGAGCAGAAGATGATAATAGATGAGCAGAAAGCTACTATTGGTGAGCAGAAAGCATCTCTTGATGAGCAAAATCTCTCTATTGAACATAAAGAAGTAATCATCAAGGAGCAAAAAGCTACTATTGATGAACAAAAGGCTACTATTGATGAGCAAAAAGTTACCATTGATGAGCAAAAGGCTACCATTGATGAACAAAAGGCTACCATTGATGAACAAAAGGCTACCATTGATGAACAAAAGGCTACCATTGATGAGCAAAAGGCTATTATTCAACAGCAGACGTCTGAGATTGAAGAGAAAAGGATCACTATTACTACTCAAGAATCCTCTATCGAGGAGCAGAGATTGATGATTGAAAGCTTAAAGAATGAAAATTCCAAGCTTAAGCTCGGACGTATGGATCTTAATCTTCGCATTGCTGACTTGGAAGAGGAATTAGCCGATCTCAAGACATTGAATAAGACTCTGATCGGTGGAAACCAGATTGAAGAAAACATTGTAGAATCGACGTCTCAAGTTGAAGATGCTGAATCGAAGAATTCTGCCGCTTCTGATGCATTTTTGGGAGAGGAAGACTCTTCTCAAGAACTCACTGGCATAGAAGACTTGAAGCAAGAGGAAGCATCGAAGTCTCCGGTGCCGCAAGAAAATGAGGCAGATGTCACTCGATCTATCAAAGTGGATGAAGAAAAGGAGAAGACAGAAGAACAGGGAAATGATATAACCTCTGAACTCAATGATAATGCCCTTATTGGCTCAGTTCAAGATGAAATCAAACCTTCAATAGCGGAGTCTGAGATGAAAGGCTCAGAACTAGCTGATGAAGTTTCAAACGTTCAGCCCTTTGGGAATAACGCTAGTCATAGTCCAGGTGATCATAGCGAAGTTGATTCGACCTCCAAAGGTGACGATGCTAACCCCTCCACTGACTCACAATTCGGTAGAAATGATGGTATCGAAGTACGTGATCAAGTCGAGTTGAAAGATAATGGTACCAGAGAAGGCTCGGAACAGAATCTTATCTCTGAAGATGTTGTGGTTGAAGAAGCGGCTGTTGAACAGCAAAAAAACCAAGGCACTCTCGATCTTTCGCAAGGCAATACAGATGCTAATGCTGAACAAGCAATCAATGAATCACCCTTAGAAGAACATGTCCTTGAGAAGAAGCCTCCTTCAGAAGAGCAAGCTCCTGAAAAGGAGTCTCTATCAGAAGAAGAAGTGTTTGAGAAACAATCAATTCCAGAAGAAGAATCTTCTGGACATAAGTCTGCAGAATTACTTGATGTTGCGGAATTGGGCGACCCTCTTGACGAATTTGAGTCTATGCTTCAATCCGCAGGAGTCGGCACTAGCCAGAGCAAGCCTATTTCTGCTTTGCAATCCAAAACTACTAGGGCTCTCAGTCCCCTGCAACTTTTTGGCGAGACAGCCAAACCTCTCGAGAAAGGAAACTCTTATGCGCTGCCCCTGCAACAAGTTCTTTCTCGAATTGATTCTACATCGGATTTCCGTGAACGGCTTATGGTTTGGAAAGGATGGCAGGTGGATATGATTAATTGGGATCATTCCAAAAACCCCAAATTTGTATTGTGAAATGACCTCACCAGGATCTACATAGTCAAAATATTGCATTCTTTCGCTTCTGATACTTTGTATTTCACAACCCGTATGACGACACTATTTACATGATGAGTAGTTAGAAGAGTCCTAACTTCCTATTACTTCACCCGACACAAAGCCATACCTCCAAGGTCTCTCTTAGCAGCTTCCTGGATTTCCACTACCTCCTTCTTCGAAGTCTTCACGAATACACATTCAGCTGGTTGTAAAGGCTTGATGAATCTGACAGGCAAGCCTGAAGCCAACGCCTTAACCTCTGTGCTTGTCAAGTTCACTCTTCTACCTGGTTTCAGAATCATCGAGAAATCCCTTATGATGGGGTTATTCTTTCTGTATTTCAACCCCAACCACAACCGGCGTGTGGAAATATTGTCTGGTGTCACCTCGACAGGTGTCTGGTCTGGACCAGAAGTAGAGCCCTTTTGAACAGAGGAAATGAAACCTTCCTTGTACAACCCTAAAGCGATCTGTAAATGCAAGCGAGAAAATGGAACAGAGGTTGTTGCAATATGCACATTGGTGCAATTTTTGATATGTGCACAAAGGTTAGCCAAATGGACCAACGACATGTTAATGGTGGTTCAAGTCTGTTGAATTTACATCTACCTTCGGCTTTTTTTTTCTCTCCAAAGAGTGTTGTGCACGTGATTTTGCACGTGCATCTCTGAGCGTCTGCAGACATGGCTCGATACAAGAGACCAACTTCTCCCAAATTTCAGCGAGCGATAAATATGTTCAGGTTAGTTGCCGGAAAAAGGCCTCCTGTTAGAACTGTCTTGCTGAGAGGGATACCTTGTCCTTCTTTTGCAAAGGCTTTCTACTCCACACCGCAGAGAAAAATCAGGAAACCAGAAGAGGGCCCAAAAATCAGGTACTTGGTGCTTGTCGTTTTTGCTTCTTTTGGATTGTTACACTTTGTCACCACGCAAGTGGATAAAAAGGCACCCAAGAACTCTTTCACGGAGCGCGAGTTTGAGCAATATGAACGAGAGACCGGTTTGAGAAGAAGACACAAATTGATAAATCACGAGAAGAATGACCAGTATGCCTTCTATGCTGTGCCATACGCCCATGATGTCAGTAAAGCTGTGCAACTTTTAACTAAAATGTTACCCAATGAAAAACAAGTTAAAGTCATTGATCCTAAGCAATTGATCGAGAAGGAACTCGAGGATGAGGGCAAGTATTCATATTTGTTACAAGACTTGTTAGCGTATAAAAAGCCTTTACCTCGTGGATTGATAACAGCATTGATGAAACAGGAGATTGAATTGTTTCTCAATACGACCAAGGGTCAATTTGACACCAACATTCTTTTGATGAACTACCCTCAGTCTACAGATGAAGCAATCAAATTTGAGAATGATGTATCCGAACTTAAAACATGCATCGTGTTAGAAGACGATTTCGCAAAATCGCTTCATGATGATTTGAGCGATGACGACGTACGGAAAGTTAACAATGTCGTTGGTTATTTCGATACTGTTGGCAAGGCTGAAAAAGTGAATTCCAAGGTTAAAGTTTTAAACTAGTACATATGGTTCCCCCTTGTAAATAGAAGCAAAATCTTTTAAGCCAAGTATTATCGGTAGTTTCGCGTCCCCCAGCACCTAAAGCAAATAAAACCTTATCTTTGTTCATGGGAGGAAAACACTACTAAACTAGACAAAAAAATCTTCTGGCACCTCGAAACGAATGCCAATGTTTTCTGCAAGCTTTTTGTCAGTATCCAGGAAATCGCCCTCTCTTCCAGCAGCATCGCCAACAAAGAAGCTATTATCCATATCAATCTCAATGTCATTTCCCAACGCGCTCTTCAAATATAGAATCAATTCGTCCCACATCCCAGTCTCTGGTTTTCTAGTTTTCTGGTGCTTCTCCTCTGAGCTCGCAAATGGTCGCAGTTTCTTACCAGGGAGTTGAGTGGCAGCAAAGACCAAAAGTGGTATTTCGACTTGACTTTTTAACGAGGCAAATATCTGATTGATTTTGGACCTAAGAATCAAGTAAGATTTTGATGCGGTGGGGTCCTTTTGAAGAACGACAGTGCTTCCTTGATTTGTGAAAATAGCGATAATGTACTTTTCCTCCGCCTTCGCTTTGAGAGTTGGAACAACTCTATCACTCCACCATTGCCAATCATTGGCGCCCTTTCCAAACTTTAAACCAGATCGGGATTTTATTAGAGTGCTATCCATATCAAAGGCAGCAATTTTGATTTTTTTCGTTCCATCTGAAAGCTCTTTCTCGTAAAATTCCTTGAAAACAGGTGGAGGTGGAAGGTTAGTCACAAGATGCGATCCATGAACTCTCCAGTATGCAGCAAACTCGTTTTTGTTCAACGACGGGCTCTTGGAAGAGCTTTGGCTGGATTTAGGTTTTGAAACAGACGAACATAAGAGACTTGTGATATCATTAGCCATGATAAAGTCAGAGTATGCTGTGGAGGAAAGCGTCTGCATATGAAATCTACGATTTTAAGCTTGCACATTTGATGTGCACTCAAAATTCTGGGGACGGTTGCCAATAGAGAATCATGACTGAGAAAGTGTCCACAGACCAGTATGGGAGAAAAACCTGGAATGTCGACTTGTACGCAGAAGAGGCTAAAAACAAAAATAAGCGGAAAGAGCCTTCAAAGGAGAGTATATTGGCCGTGGAAGGGCTTAAAAGCGAAAGCTACAACGAACATAGAGCACAACTAATAGAAAGTTCTGTTCTGGCAGTTCAAAAGCACACTTTAATCAATGCTGAGGCGGACCCTACGGCAACTTATGGCAAAAATAAGAGATTTGGTTTTTTTTGTCCCATATGTGACTTGTCTTTCCGAGACACTTTAGCCTTGGTGGACCACATCAACTCTCCTCAGCATTCTAAAAGGGCAAAGGCTTTAGCTAGTGCGAGCGGCGCTTCTGATGAAAATGAAGACATAGGAGGGGTGAAACGCGCCAGTGCCCAAGAGGTTGCAGAGAAGATAGAAGAGCTTGTGAAGAAACTGATACGAGACAGATCGTCAGACAGGAACTTGGGTTCAATTCAAGAACGGATCCAAAAACGGCAAGAGTTTGAAGAAAACAAGCTTCGCAAGCGAAGAGAGAAAAAGTTAAGAAAAAGAGCTAACAAGGTTGAAATCTCTGACGAGGTTGGAAACAGCGAATTGCAAAACGCTATGGGTTTTCAAGGATTTGGCACTACGAAAGTATAAATGATAGACAAATAGGCTGACAGAAATACACGACTAATGAACAGAGCGGTTGGAGAAGTGCATTCGTGTAGCCGCCTTAACGGCACATTGAAGTATGAAGAAGAAGATGATGAAGAAGGTGAAGATGTCAATCCAAGTTTATGACCCGAGCCTTCTAGTCTCTCGTGTGTAGAACCTAACATGCAAACCAGGATGGTACCATCTGCAGTCCTTCTCAAAGTTTTTGCAGGTTGCACACTAACCAATGAAAATTATGTAAAAGCGCTTTATATCAACGAAGCGGAATCAACCACCATTTTAGTTGAACGGGCCCACCACACCAATCAACCAGCATATATCCCTCATAATGGTCAAGTTCAACTTCAGTTTGCCTCTCAGCAGCTTGTTTAAGTTCAGAGCCGGCAAGTTCAACTACCCTCTTGAGCAGGAAATTAGAACAAAATTGGACTCCTTACCATCGGTCACCAAGATCTACAGTAACCCAGACGGAACCCCTAGAGTACCTTCTGATGCTGAATTCAAAACGATTGCCGAGTTACAAAACTTGTACTACCAAAGAAACCACTCCGAATGGAACTTTATACTTCCAGGAATTCCCAAGGAGCAGTTGGAGTTATTTAGAGACAACAGCCAGGACTTGAAGAACTTCCAATTTGTTACCAAGGATGCCGGCAAAATCATTGACAAGATCCCATACAAGGACGAAACTACCGGCGAACTAAAATGGAGAGTCGTGCGTGAGACTGAGAAAGCAGAGGGTTGGGAATTGCCTTACTACTACATTGTCTTGCCTGTGTTTATATACGTTCTTTACTCCAAGTACACCTCGCAAATGAGAAAGAGAGAAACTGACGGTCCAGAGTGGGCTGAAAAGGAGTTGAGATTGAGAGCTATGGAAGAGTACTTCCATGGTGACTCTGAGAAGGCCAAGGAGTTCTTGTCTAACGAGGGTAAATCCGAAAGAGAAATCAGAGACAGAGATGACTTGGTTGTCTCGAGAATTTTGGCAGGTGACTATGACAAGTTGGCCCAATTGAAGAAGAAGTTGCCAAAGGACTTGGTGCCAAAGCCTGAAGTCAACGACAAAATCAACATTTAAAGCATCTTTCTCGTTGAAAGTGCTTGCACTCACTTTGTAGCCCAATGCATCCTTTATAAGATAATTTATTCTTTCGTCAGCCAGTATACATCAACCATTTTCTGATATGATAGCAAAGCTTCTTACCTCTATTCTGCTCTACCATATTCTTGCAAAATCTTGCGAAATCTACCGAAGTCGTAGACAGCCCTAGTACGAAAGAAAGACATCATAGTAAGTTATGCTTCTGAGGAGTTATTCTATTGATTAATAGTACTTTACGGAACCATATACCCTTACTGGACGTACTAATGATACTCCATTAGCTGCGCAAATTCCCTAGACTTAACTGTTTACGGTGGGATTGATTCAACTGGATTCTAGTAAATACATTTGGCATTGTTATTGAAGCCTAATAATTTTATGTACATATAGCTTATTCCTTAACTTCTCCACACTCCTCAATAACAATGGCAGTCTTGGTCTGGCCACTGGAAGATCCCTGTGCCTCAATGTCCTTCACAACATCGAAACCTTCAATCACCTCACCAAAAACGACGTGAGCACCGTCCAACCATGGGCAAGGAACAGTGGTGATGAAGAACTGGGAGCCATTGGTGTTTGGGCCTGCGTTGGCCATGGACAACAAACCTGGCTTGGTGTGCTTCTTTTCAAAGTTCTCGTCAGGGAACTTGGCGCCGTAGATGGATTTTCCACCGTAGCCCTTTCCTGTTTCAAAATCACCACCTTGCAACATGAAGTTTGGGATCACTCTGTGGAAAATAGACTTGGCGTATCCGAAACCTTTTTCGCCAGTGCACAAGGCTCTAAAGTTTTCAGCGGTTTTAGGAACAACGTCGTCATATAACTCAAACTTGATTGGGTTTTGCTTCACACCATTGATCGATGGAGTGATGAAGACTTTAGTTCCCAAAGCTCTAGCGGAAGAGGAGAAAGATCTGGCGGCCCTGAACATTGTGTACCTTATATAGAAATGTGGAGAAATTGGGAAACGTTTTTTCTGGATTTATAACACTTCGGCACGTGCTACATACAGGACTACTTGCTGTTGAGAACTAGCAGTGGTATATACACACTGAACTAAAATTCTCTATTACTAATTCCTATGACAACACGGCGCCCTAACGGTACGTAAGATGTCATTACATATACATATCACCGCGGACGCAACCTTAATGCATTTGCATTAGATCTTCCTGTCACCATTGGATATATTCCTGACAGTGAAGTAAGTGCATGCATTAAACAATGGTTGCAAGGTGCAACGGCACGACAGGTGCACAGCAACGTCCTGCCGGTGCAGCCAACTCATCTCTTAAACGCCGTCCTATCATCTTAGACGAAGGACACTTCATATCTCCTCTCAAGTATATAAGATCACCATTTTTCCCTCTAGGATGGATTCTTCTCTAAGGATCATCCCCATCCCGATATATCAATCCCAATACACTTGCTACTCAAATGTCCAACACCTCTGACTCTATTGAAGGTTCCACTCTGTCTGAAGTCTCCTTCAGAGACTCTCATGGATTGATCTCTGGTTTACCAGCAAGAAGCCAAGGTGTGCATAGTGCTGCCACTACTGTACAAAAGGTTTCACAGGTTATGAGCCGCTCTAAAATCAATGAAATTAATCCATTTGATCTTAATGACGAGGTATTCTTCCCAGAATGGTACTACTGCTTCAAGATTAACTTCGTGAAGGCAGTACCTATTGCAGAGGACTACTTCAAGTATTCCCTTGAGGATTACCGACTTAGATTCAATGGACTGGTTGGGTCCATTAATGAGGCAGTTAATGCGGTTGAACAACGGTTTCATGAGTGTATTAGTCATCTTCTCGAAGAACAGTCACTCATCGATCCCTACACGTTCTGCAACCGTGAGTACGTGGAGAATGAACTCTTTGCTGATCGTGAGATTAATGAGATAGAAGATCGCGTGAAAATTGCTATACGCTACAATATCTTACGTGCAAAAGCAGTACATGGCGATTATCAACCACTATTGAACCATCTCCTCGCTGCTTCCACTAGTCCTGAGTTAATTTGGCAAACCTTTTTCAGGATCCTTACTACCTCGGTCACCTTCTTGAATCCGACACAACTTGAGGACTTTACTAAGTCTGTTCAACTGGCAATGACGCGTCTGACTGATGTGTCTACTCAAATCCGCAGATGGTACAAGACAACCGAACTCACAAGGAAACTGTTCTGCCCCACTCCTAAGGACACTACACGGAGATCACACTCCAAAAATGATGATAATCGGAACATGGGTAAAACCCGGAATGCCCACACTTATGTCAACAATGGAACTCAAGGAACCCACAAACGGGGACCCTACAAGACCAATTCGGACATGCACTCTAACGCGCAAAACTACCAGAAACTGAACAAGTTCAAGAGCTCTGGTACACCACCTGTCTATCTTGTGTACGACAATGATGATATCTCTGTTTATCCCACCCGTACCTTTATATTAGACACTGGATCAAGCATTCACACTGTGAATGATAAAGCGCTCTTGAGTAATGTATGTTCCACCAATCGCATGATTAATCATGGCGGTCTACGTCCAGTTGACACAGTTGGCACCTTGAAAATACAGTTATTGGACGGCCACCAGTTGATCCTTCCTGATGTGCACTACGTCCCGTACTTGCCCAACATCCTCTCAACCCATAGATTGAGAGATGCTGGTGACAGTATTTTCACTAACGCATCCCTAGATGCAATCAATTCACATACACAACAAGTTGTGAGCAGTGAAACGAGCGAAACCATTAATGTTCCTGCCACAATTCTTCCCTTTGAATCTGAGGATTTACCCTCAGATATCCTGAACACTCCGCACACTTCTACTAGTAAGTTGCCTAGTGTCCTTATTATCTCTACTCAATCATCTGAGGATCACTTTAGTGATGACTCTTCAGACTCTGAGTCCCTTTTCTCGAATGATCCAAGATCAGAAACCGAGTCCTATGATACACTCGATGATGCTTCGACTGGAAAGATAGATGCACTCTCTCAACAATGGCATAGTACTTTAGGCCATCCTGGCGAAACTCAGTTTAAAGCCCTTAAGAAAGTGTTTAATCTACCCAAATCTGTGGTTCATGTACCTTTAATCCAATGTCGTGGGTGCTGCACCTCCAAGACTGTTAATCGCTTTGCGAAGACATCTCGAGGACACACATCTATTACTCGCCCCTTTGAAGTCATCCATGTGGATGTTTGCGGTCCCTTTGATAACCCCAAGGCGCACGACAATGCCCGGTACTTTCTCACTATTGTCGATCGATTCTCCCGGTTCGTTACTGCTATCCCATTAGCTCGCAAAAGTGAAACGTCTACTATGATCCAAGATTTTATTCGTCAAAGCTTCACGGAGCTCCGTGCCACTCACTATCCGAAACAACTTCGGTCGGATAATGGTTCTGAAATTTTCAATGATAATCTCACGGAATTTCTCAAGGCCGAAGGTATCAAACTTTGCCCTACTCATCCTCATAGTTCTGCTGAAAATGGCATTGCCGAACGAATGCATCGCACCCTTCAAGATAAAGTTCGTACACAAATGACACATGGCAATGTTCCCCCTATTTTCTGGTCCGAAGCTCTTCGGTACTCCGCTCTCATCCTTAACTGGACACCTCGTGTCAACTTACTAAATGAGACACCCATTCGCCGTTGGTACAACGATGACCTGCTCACACGTCCTGAACTTTACCCCTTTGGATGTACCGCATTTGTCACGATTCCTCTCGACATTCGTACCAACAAGATGGCCCACAACTCCCTTGAGTGTGCCTATCTCGGCCCTGACTCTCAACGACTTGGCCATCGATTCTTCAGCTATGAGCTTATGAAAGTATTTGGCTCTGCTCAGGCCATTTTTCGACCAAACGAATTCTATTTTTTCCAATATGCCATTAACCCCGATAAACTTCCGGTTAATCACAACCGCCTCCCTACGGCTTATCTTCCGGGCATTAAAGTCCCGCCACCCTTTCAACGTCTTTCCGGACAAGACATTTACAACGATACTAATGCTCTTTCTGAGCTTTTCCTCGAACAGACACCATCTACCACTCTGTCTGTAACTACACCAATTACCGATTCGCCGCCCGTGGTCCCGGCGGCTTCTCCGACTCTCCTGATCCCAGAGTCTTCCCCTATGCCTCCTCGCAAGGTGGCTAAGAAGAAGCGGTCGCTGATCCCTTCTACTTCTTCTGCGCAGTCGCTGACCCCTTCTGCCATCCCACTGACTACGAAGAAATCCACTTCTAAGCAATCTGCTTCCACGAAATCCTCTCTCAAGTCATCCACGACGCTCACCCCGTCTCCACCCACTAAGTCTCCTTCTGAACCCTACTACCGTACTCGGAGTGCTACTGGTTCACTTCCGTCAGATAGGCGGTTATCCACCAAGGGGGGGTAGTGACCGCTCTCTCACCTTTCCAGTTACCTTACAATACGTGAAAACTGCCAAATCGAAGAAGCGTCCCCATGAACTAGTTCTCCTAGTTCAACTGGCTAACAAGGTGGATAAACCAAATCTAAAGGAACCCATTCCTACTCCAGCCACAATCTTATATGCTGCGACCGTATATGCTGAAAACAAACTCAATCACTCAAGACCAATACCTAACTCATATACTGAGGCAATGAGAGCCGCAGATAGAGAGTATTGGACCGAAGCTTGCAATCTGGAAATGCAAGCACACTATGAAAATGGCACGTTTACACTTGTTCCGTTGCCATCAAATGTTAAACCCATAGGTTGTCGCTGGGTTTTCAATATCAAAGACAAAGGTCTCTATAAGGCCAGACTAGTAGCGAAAGGCTATACTCAACAGGAAGGAATTGATTATGAGGAAACCTTTTCCCCTGTGATAAAACACACCAGTCTACGTCTTCTCCTTGCTATAGCTGGCAAACACAAGATGCATGTACACCAAATGGATGTTAAAACAGCTTTCTTGAACGGCGTTCTCAAGGAAGAGTTGTACATGAAACAACCTCCAGGATACAAAGCAGTTCCCATGAACGCCAAGGACAAAACAAGTGAGTATGTCCTCAAATTAAATAAGTCCATCTACGGTCTAAAACAAACTCCCTTGGTCTGGAACCAGACCATTAACAAAACACTCAGATCTCTTGGCTTTACAAGATCTGTTGAAGAGCCATGCATTTACTACAACTTTGAAAATAATGAATCACTCTTCATTGCACTCTATGTTGATGATATGCTACTTATTGGCACAAATCTTAAGAAAATCACTCGACTCAAAATACATCTAGGTCAGGCCTTTCAAATGAAAGATCTTGGTGTTGCTGGTAAATTCCTTGGTATGAACTTGAATGTATCATCCACTGGAATTGTAGTAAACATGGAAGAATATATCAACAATCTTCTACTTGAATATGGTATGGCGGATTGCAATCCCGTCAAAACACCTGCCAACAAAACTAACCTAGATGATCTAGCAGACAGTTCTGATCGCAACATGCGATGAACACGAATACCGATCTGTTGTTGGCAAGTTACTCTATGCTGCCAATACTGTTCGATATGACATCAACTATATTGTTCTGAAATTGTCTCGCTATCTTGCATCACCTAAGGAGAAACACATGGAAGCCGCCAAACGTGTTCTAAGGTACCTCAAAGGAACGAAGAAATTTGGCTTGTACTATACTCCAAACTCACCAGATGAACTTATATGTTACTCAGATGCTAATCTTGCCTCTGAAACTGACACAAAGAGTCGCTCAACTACGGGCTCAGTTATTCTTTATGGTGGATCCCCAGTAAGCTGGAGATCTAAACTACAAACTCTTGTGGCTCTTTCTACAGTTAACTCTGAACTCTTTGCCCTATGCTTTACCACTCAGGAATGCGTTTGGTTACAGAACTTAATGGAAGACATAAAGATAACACACAACACAAAACTATACTGTGACAATCAACCAGCTATCAAAACGGTACAGCTGGAAGTCGCACTAGAAGGAACAAAGCATATACGACGCAGAGTTGACTTTGTTAAACAACAAGTACAATTCTCAACTGTACTGCTACAATACGTTCCCACAAAATTGAATTGTGCAGATATATTTACTAAGGCACTACCAGATCCACAGTTCACAACCTTACGTCAACGCTGTGCATCAGGTATAAGACCTACTGATCTTCTATAACCGATACCGAAGTTCACCTTCAAGGGGAGTGTTGAGAACTAGCAGTGGTATATACACACTGAACTAAAATTCTCTATTACTAATTCCTATGACAACACGGCGCCCTAACGGTACGTAAGATGTCATTACATATACATATCACCGCGGACGCAACCTTAATGCATTTGCATTAGATCTTCCTGTCACCATTGGATATATTCCTGACAGTGAAGTAAGTGCATGCATTAAACAATGGTTGCAAGGTGCAACGGCACGACAGGTGCACAGCAACGTCCTGCCGGTGCAGCCAACTCATCTCTTAAACGCCGTCCTATCATCTTAGACGAAGGACACTTCATATCTCCTCTCAAGTATATAAGATCACCATTTTTCCCTCTAGGATGGATTCTTCTCTAAGGATCATCCCCATCCCGATATATCAATCCCAATACACTTGCTACTCAAATGTCCAACACCTCTGACTCTATTGAAGGTTCCACTCTGTCTGAAGTCTCCTTCAGAGACTCTCATGGATTGATCTCTGGTTTACCAGCAAGAAGCCAAGGTGTGCATAGTGCTGCCACTACTGTACAAAAGGTTTCACACTTGCAAGGTGACTAGCAATGTAACTAAACCAATTGTTCTGAATACATAAAAATCGCAACGAATCTACAAAAATAATTCGCTCTGCCGTGAACCACATTCAACCTACCATGGTCGCAATCTTAAATTTGTAGATTTTCTGATTCATTTCCGCAATGCGTATACTCTCTGCCCTCATACTATGATGCTATGGCCCCCTCGCAATCTTGCACTAGCTCTCCTTGTTTCCTAGATCCTTATAACATGGCACTGCTTTTCCCCTCTCTTTCTCTCTCACTCTTCATTGTTTTTCTGGCAACTTGTATTTTTCATGCTTCAAAAGCTCAACAAGTCGATCTCACCACTAGTAACGTTTTTGTTGTTAGATACAGGCTGACTTGTACTGTTAGAGGCAAAGCCACCAAAATCGTCGCTGGCTGTTTGAGCAGGTTTAGTTGCGGAGGGTGTGGTGGTGTTCTTCTTTGTTTTAGCGCTCGTAAATAAGGACGAGAATGCATCATTGGATGCTTTCGCAGGGCCAGAAGACACCCTGGTAGGCCCAAAAGTGTTCACAGCGGAAGGTGCATAGTTGGGTTGAGACAATGGAGTTGGCTGAGGTGCAGCGGGTTGCGAAACATAGAGATTGGCCAAGTTGTCTGTAAGCGAACCTGTGTTGGTAGACAGGGAAGGAGCAGTTTGGAAGTCGTCAAAATCGTCATCTTCGTCTTGAGCTTGGGCAGCAGAAGAAGAACCTGCAGTGCCATTGTCGAACACCAAGTCGCCCAATAAGTCCTCCTCTGGAGCTTTTGGTTGTGCTTTGTCCTTGGACAGAGTAGCATGAACTGCAGAAGAGCTTGTAGTTGGCTTGGAAGTATGAGAATTTCCTTCAACATTATACTCTTCAAAGGTTTCTGTTCCTGTAGCGCCATTATTGTACGCACTTGCCGGATCATCGTATCTGGCACCGAAAACCCCACCGTCACCGTAGACTCTATTCGTAAAGTCGTCGTCTCCCCCAAATCCGCCGCTTGCGGCAATGGACGAAGCACCGCCATAAGCTGCAGAAGAAACGCCGCCAAACTTCTTTGAGTTTGCTCTGGCCTTTTTCCGCTCCAGTCTAATCATGGCATCATCGTTCAAAAATGCAACCAAGGTTTTCGACCGGTTTCTCACATTGATGCCTTGGTCCCTGCCTTTGGAGTCAATGTAGTGGAAAGACTTCAACATCTGTATCAATGAAATATTGGCGCGAACATCATCAATGATTCTTTCCGATCCATTCTTCAACAAGTAATCCAATAATTGCAAAGACTTATAAATTTGTCTCCACTCATTCGCGGCCTTTTCGGTGAATCTCCTGAAAATGAAACTGAGAATCTCCTCACGCTCCCTGTAGTTATATGTTCCTGCGGCAATCTGTGCCATTAAAGAAGTTGGAGCGCCCCAAGGCTCATTGTTGGTAGCTTCTCGAACTTTTGCCTCCATCTCGGACAAGTTCATAGCAACTAAGTTGTTAGTAGCTGAGGGATACAGAATGTGGATGAAGTTGTGAGTTCCCACGATTAATGTTACTCCATGAATGGTTTAACTTTCTTTGGAGCTCGCCGTGTGTGTTAATGACAAAGTGATTTTCAATCCGGGACATCCACCACTCACAACACAAATTAAAAGCCGAACATACCATTCTGCGCCTTGCGTACGTATGCTTTCACATCGTACAAAGAGATATTCTTTGATACATCTTTGAGGTAGTCCATTTTGTTTTTCTCTCGCTATCTCTGCGACTCCGAAAGTGTTAATAGGGAAATGGGGTTTGCGTTGAAGCCAACTAAATCATTACCGATTACGTCCTGCGCTTTGTGCAGTCCTCATATAGCCCGCACATGACTGTGCGTCTAGCAAAATTATGTGAGTCGTTATGCGTAAATTATAATACATATCTTATGCTACTTTCTGTACTTGGCCTTGATAGCTGCTGAGAGTTCCTTGAGTTCTTGTACTTTTTTCGGAAGTAGCGGTTTCGTAAATTTGGGTCCCGGCGAAGCAAAAGGTGTACTCTCCTCTAATATGCTACCATTGGCGAAGGAGCCAAAATAGGAATTGTCCCTGTGGGGAAGAGTAGTGTTGTTCTTGAAAAACGAGGTATTGAGGTTGATAACGCTGTTATTAAGAAAAGAACCGTTCGGTGTTTTGAAAACCGAATTGTTGAATGAAGCATTGGACAAGTCAATATGATCGGAGTTACCAGTAACAATATGCTTGGCCAAATATTTTCTCTTTTCTAACTCCCGACCTTTGCGAGCAAGCTCTTCTTCTTTAGTCTTTAAGTGGCTTGATATCGTTCGGGAAACCTCTGGTTGCACCGAAAGATCATTATCATCACCCATTCGTTCTCTCCTTAATTGAAGTTGTTTCATCCTGAACTTCCCCCCTCTAGTAGTCAACGTGGCCGTAAAGTTTTGACACAAACGTTGAAACCCAACATCCAAAGTCTCCGCAACATTCGTATTCACATTTGACATGTCACAAATGCAAATATTCTCGACAGAATTATCTGCGTCAGTGATTTCCTTCACCTTCAAGATTTCTTCAACTTTTTCCTTACGTAGATTGGACTTGCAAGTGTCCCAAAATAGAACTAGAAATTGCACCTTGAACAAACAGTATCTGTCGCAGATCTGGACAAGTTTTTGAAACGTTTTACTATCCCTGATCAACTTCTCTTCAGTAGATCCGTATGGTGCACTCGGAGTCACCATACCACATTCGAAAACAATTAAACAGACATTCCTGATTGAATTCTCTAGCAGACGTGGATTCTTAGGCAAACTTTCGAAATCCATTCCAAAATGTTCCGATTCAACACGGTTGGAATAGTGTGTCCTATCATCACTAAGTTTTAGAGAAAACTTGGTGTTCAACCACTTTGAGTAAGGAGAAGACCAATCCTCAACGATGAACAAACATTTAAGTATTTCTTTCTCCTTGTTAAAGTGATTCTCAAACCCATGGGAGAGTAAATCAACAAACTTTTTGACGTTCAAAGGTTGCCACAACTTCGATATTTTATTCTGCTTCTCTTGCATGTACTCAAAGCTGGTATTTTGAGAAAGCGATGGGCTAGAACGTTTTGTGAATGGCTGATTTATATCCGGGGTTAGGCTCCTTCTTTTGAGAGTTGGCCTGCTAAACTCAATAGATCGCAATTCTTGGAGCCTTCGTTTTTTTGCCTCTTTTCTAGCCATCTTCTCACTGAGCCTCTTTTGCCAATTGGAAAATGCATGCTTAAGTGTGATCCTCTTACAATACTCATCCGCAAGTATGGTAAGAGTAGACTGATGTGTGAGCTCAGACACAAAGGCAGAATATAACTCAGAAGTGAAAGATTCAATTATTTGATTTCTCTCTTCCAACCTGTTTCTATGCTTAATTAGACGACCTAATAATTTTGCAAGTTCTTCGTCTAAAACCGAATTCTCAATCTGCCCATAAATTTGCTCAGCTATTCCTTTGGTGTCTATCTTATTTGCTATGGTTTGGGCTGGCGGATTAGGATTGATCAGTAAGGTTGGACTATCTGTTGATTTCATTCTATTTTGCTTCGGTGGAGCAGCCAAACCAGTAAATTCATTTGTATTAGCGATTGAAGGTTTATGTTGTTCCTTCTTTGGATTCAGAAAAACGGGTGTCTTGAGTGATCGGGACACACTAGGTGTAATCGTTGGACTGAAATTGTTTTGATCCATCAGGAAAGATTGAGACGGTTCCTCTTCTTTGCCCTTGCTTCTCAACGATTTATCGCTCATCTTCGGTGCCTGAAAACTGAGGTTTGATTTGTTCAGTCGAGTAGCTTCATTAGGATGTTCATTAGGTTTCGAGAGCATCGTCTTAGAGTCAGTAGAGCTGAATCCTAGAGAAGTATTCTGATTGCTCAAAAAGTCTGAAATGTTGAACGATGTACCGCTCTTTTGCTCGTTTGAAATGGACGGCTCTTTCAAAGTATTGGATATCGGTTGTTGTGAAAATCCTTCCTTTTGCCCAAACCCGAGAGATTTTCCATTTTCAAGTTGAACGGAAGATTGAAGATTATTAGCTGCAAATGCGGATGTGACTGAGTGCCCTGTGAGTGGCCCATTTGCGTTAGATGGCACAAAAGATGGAACTTGGCTTTTAATTGAAGAGGGTTTGCGTGAATTGCTTTGCAAAACTTCCAGTCCAGGAGCATTCTTTAAATTAAGGTTCTCATTAGACTTGCCAGAGTTAATGAAACTCTTGAGGGTACCTCTCATCTTGTAGTTGAGCTGGTTTGAGAATGCCTGAGACAACTTTGGCTTATCGTTCAAACTACTGAGCTTGTATTTGGACTCCAACTTCTCTTTGTTGAAAAGATCAACGAGCACTGTTCCATTGTCGTTAATAATGTCCACCTCATAATACGAGACAAAACTTATTAGTTGATCAATAGTGTCAAAACCGAGCATTTTTTGAAGAGCAGTAGCAATCATGGGTTTCCCCTTCGTGTGATATGAACGTGACATGGATTTCAACGCATAAAATCTGATTTCATTGAAGTGTGTCTCCAATAAGCAGGCTAAAAGAAAGGACGTTTCCTCGCTGAAGGCGAGTCTAAAAAATTCCACAAATAAATCCATTGGTCCAATTGTGTTCGTATATCCTCTTTCAACCACATTCTTTTGTGCCATTAAATACCGAAAGCGAAGAGCAAGTTGCACATGGTGATCTCTGAAAATGTGATCTGGAAGACCTTGTATCTCCCTTTCTAGCTCTGGGTCACGAAAGTGACTTATCAAATGATAAGCTCTAAATTCTGCCTCGTTGGGACATTGTCCTCCATTATTCCTCACATCCTGGTAGATCTCTGTCAACGTTTGTAATGCTTTATTGAATTGTTCTAACTCCTGTTGCTGAGAGTACTCAACATCGCTTCCAGCCATAACGTGTAAAGACACTAAATGAATTCTGACAATTCTCTCATTGCAGTCAATGGCTTCCAGTCCGTAAAAATTCTGATAAATAAAATCTTGTCTGATCGAGCGAGTTCTATCCCAGATAAAGGAATGCGCTTCAGGAAGTTGGTCCACAAAGTTGTCCACAATGTAATCCAAAGTTTTCATTAGAACATGGGGAGGCCTCACATCTGAGGGCATTGGAGGAGGCTGACCAGCGGCAGGTCTAGAAAAAGCCTTTACTGCTCTCTCACGAGATATTTTGTTCGTTGTAGGGTCTTTTTCTAGCGTTTTTACATTGTTTTCCAATGCTCTTCTTGTCCGTTCAAAAACTGGGCACATGTCCAAGCACGTACCCTGGAAATAGATGGCATCATTCAAATCCTTTCTGGTGTTTTCAGCATCAACTAATCCTAGTTCTTCCATTTTTTTTCTCTCCACCTCTCTCATTTTTTGGAACTCCTCATAGATGCCTTGGTAGTCTGATCCGTTATTTTTGGCCTCAATATCGGTCATCTTAGCTTGATTCTCAAAGTCCCATGGGTCCTGGTGAAAAGGCGGCGTAACCAATAGTCGAGGTTGGCTCAACATATAACGTGGCGTTGCCCTGGATTTCTTTTTTTGCTGGCTCTTCATGAAACCCAACTTACTCGGGTCTTCGAAAACAGCACCAACTTGTGCGACTTCATTGGTAGTAAAATTTTGTGAAGGGCCATCTACAACTGCTGAAACAGCCCCTCTTGATAAAGGTGAGTCTAGGAAATTCGTACCTGTTTGGGTCTCTTGAGTTTGTGTCTTTTGTCGCCTGTTGTTGGGCGCTTTTTGAGAGGATCCTCTGCCTTTCGCATGGAAATTTTGCGATGTGTTGCCATTGTTTCCTTGCTTGCCAGCAGAGTTTGTAGATGTGCCACTCTTTGGACGAGAGCCTGTGCTTGTTCCGTTCTGATTATTTCGTGAAAGCATTTTTTTTCGACCACCTCGTCTTGATTCATTGGAGTTTCCGTTATTCTGGTTCGCGGACCGATTCATCCTTTGGCTTGAACCAGCCGCCAACATGGTATTTGATTTCGGGCTCCTGACTCAGAAGTGTGGGACTCACACTTTTTTTATTTATGTCGCGCCGATGGGTGACTCGAATGGGGTTCACGAATGAGTTTACTAGCACTAGTTAGCTTTGGAGTATATTGACGCTCACCAGTATGCACACTCTTCAACAATTAATACATGGGTTTAGCTAATTGTACATTCAATATCACAGTTCTACGGATATTCTAGTGATACATATGACCATGAATCCTTGAAGGAGTTCTCTACTTAGAAGATGGTCAGGAACTGCGTGCAAAAACAAGTTTTGGTCATAGACTTCCTGCAAAAAACGTTCGACTATGTCCTCGTCTCTCAATTGAACCACAAGTATGGCAATTGAATCGTCTGACATCATAGCTTTGAGTGAAGCAACAAAATGCGGTATTAGGTACTCATTGTAAATTGTATCTGTGGCAATAATAATGTCTGGTGTGTTTCTGCCTGTGATCAGTGCAAAGTTGGTGGTTCCAATGTCTCTTCTCTCCCAGTCAAATTCAATGAAGTCAATCTTACTCCACTCTATATCCTCGGTTCGTTTCGGTTGCCCACCATCTGCCTTGTCTGTTGTGGCACTAGTATATCGAAGGCTGACTACATTTTCAGCGAAATTGCTCTTCAATAGTTTGAGAATATGTCTTTGGTCAGACGCTACGTAGTGGCCAACTTTTGGTCCCACCACCGATGCAAGTACACCTCCAACACCAGCACCTAGTTCAAGCACCAGTAGTTTCGACGAGGGTTCAAAAACTTGACTGAATGGGCACTTAGAATCTGCCAATATCCAGTCAGCCATATAGATGGCGCTCTGCCAGCATATGAATCCTGTACTCGATGTCTCTTTTCCTGAAGATAAACCAGAAAGCGATTGCGATATTGTTAGATCGATGTTGGATTTAGGAAGAGTAACTTGCAATAAGTCTCTTGACTTGTCGACATAACCTAAATGCTGCTTTTCTGGAGGTGCGTGATCTACGTACAAGTCGTAGAGAAACTCGTAAAGATCTTCCTCGTTGATTTGACGAAGACCTGAAAGTAAGGAAGAAAAGCTCATGGTAATTAAAAAGATTGCGCGATGCTCACATACATTCAATTTTGTGGAGTAGATGTTTGACCACCATGACTCTTGGTAATATACAGTTTACATACATTATCGATTTTATCGTTTTATCCACACCTAAATGACATTCTTGGCTTTCAAGATTTCAGCAATCAAAATACCGGCACCAGCAGCACCGATAATGGTATTATGAGACAAAACCACCATCTTGAAGTCCAAAACTGGATCTTCTCTGACTCTGCCAACAGACACAGCGTATCCAGCATCTCTGTCTCTGTCCAATCTTGGCTGAGGTCTGTCATTCTCTTCCAAAACATGGATTGTTTGCTTTGGTGCAGATGGGCAACCCAACTTGGTAGCATCACAAACGTAGTCTCTCATAGTTTGCTTTATTTGTTCCACAGATGGAGCAGGTCTGTTGGCAAATCTAAAAGAAATACATTCGGTGTGGCCGTCACTGACAGCAACACGGTTGCATTGGGCAGAGACCTTCATTTGCTCGTAAGGCAAAGGAACAAACTCTGTTCCTTCTTTATTGGTGCCACCCAAGATCTTCCTTGTTTCCCATTCCATTTTCTCCTCTTCACCCGAAATGAAGGGTACAATATTATCCAAAACATCAATGCCAGACACACCCGGGGAGAAGCCAGCTCCTGAAATAGCTTGTAAAGTGGTTGTGGTCAAGGCATCAATAGGACCATATGCGTCAACCAAAGGTTTGAGGGGTGCCACTAAACCTGCGGTGGAGCAGTTAGAGATGCAAACGATGACGCCTGGCTTAGGTTTACCAGCAGCCTTGGCCTCTTGCACTTTCTTTTCGACCACAGACAAGTGCTCTGGGTTGACAATCGGAACGACCAATGGAACATCGGCCTCTCTTCTGTAGTTTTTGGCATTGGAAATGACAACTTTGCCGGCCTCTTTGAAAGCCTTTTCAATGTCTCCTGCCACATCAGCATCTAAGCCAGAGAATACCACATCACATTCAGCAAAATTTCCTTCTGGTTTACATTCCTCCACTAGGATAGACTTTGCGCTTTCAGGCAACAAGTCCGTTTGCTTCCAAGTCACTGCATCTTTGTAAGCCTTACCAGCAGAACGAGACGAAGCTCCTAAAGCATGGATCTCAAATTCTGGATGGTTCGATAATAATAGGATGAATCTTTGGCCCACCGATCCGGTTGCGCCTAAAACACCAGCTTTTTTTAATGCCATATTTTCTTGGTGAAGTATTGAAAAGAAGTGGTTAATAAGCAGATCGGGCTGGGAATCACAAGCTTATATGCTGGACTCGTTGGCGGAAAAATTACCTTGACTCATTTTCTCATGCATACACTGCTGATGTCATATGGTCAGCACCAGACTGGTACATAAGAAGAAAAGCACCATCTAAGAAAATTAGAGAATAAGACGTGGATAGCATATTTAGATTCGATATTTGGCAAGTTGCGAGTTTTCTTTTCTTCGCATGTGTGTTATTGTTCATTCACATCGGCTACGACATAAGCTTTTCTCATAATACACGTAAGTATTGCGGTAAAGTCACTAAGGTGTACTACTCAAGTTATAAATGTTGTAATTGCCGCCAAGACGCTTGAGCCGAGAAAGAGACACCGACTATTGTTGAATATACCTGAAAACCACTTTACATTTGTATTCCTCTGAAGGTACAATGTCTATAGCAAACACTCTCACATTATTTCATGATGCCAGCGTAATTGTTCTGTCCAAAACTACATCCGTAGACCCACTTCCCGATCATTTCGGAAAATGTATGTGATGTCGTGGCAAATGTCGAACAAGGCGGTCATGGCATGGCTCTACACATAAAAGACATTAAAGATCGTATGGGATTTGCCTCATTAGGTTTTGCCCCTTCTGTCTTCCACTTTGGTCATGCCGCTTTGGGATTAATTCTTGCTCTTTGTGGTGGTCGTCTCTATTCCATGCATGATTTTAATAAAGGGCACCTTCCGTTATGAGACTTGGTTGTCATGGAGAGGTGAAACCATGGTGTGCAGATAATTCCTGACGCGACTCTTCTCTTCTGTTCACCTCCATATCCAAACCAAAGTATAACCATCGATGGTCAACACAGACTTTGAGAAAATCTACTTAAACCAGTCCAGAGTCAATGGGCGTATGCGTATTGCAGACTCGGGACTTGGATGGAAGGCAAGCAGCAACGGGGACTCAACCTCCAATGCTCCATTTTTGTTACCGTCGGAGGAAATCTTGGCCACCCACTGGTCAAGAGGATCTCGTGGCTATGAGTTGAGAGTTCAAACGAAGAACCAAGGCGTTGTGATGCTCGATGGTTTTGACGCCGAAGATTTTGCGAAAATGAAGCAAGAATTGCAGAGAAACTTTCATTTAACTTTGGAACACAAGGAGCACTCGTTGCGAGGATGGAATTGGGGCAAAGCAGACTTGGCAAGAAACGAGTTGGTTTTCCAGATCCACAACAAACCAGACTTTGAGATCCCTTACTCGGAAATAGCAAACTCGAACTTGACTGGTAAGAACGAAGTTGCTATCGAGATGAATTTGACCAACGAGGACAAAGCGGGTGATGAATTAGTAGAGATGAGATTTTACATCCCAGGTACTGTTGAAAATGAAACAAAGAAAACGGTTAAGAACGAAGATGGAAGTGAGAAAGTGGAGGAAGAGACTGAGGAAGTTAATGCAGCAGCTGTTTTCTACGATCAACTCAAGGACAAAGCTGATATTGGCCAGGTTGCCGGCGAAGCTATTGTTTCCTTCAGCGATGTTTTGTTCTTAACGCCAAGAGGACGTTACGATATCGACATGTATCCTACTTCATTGAGATTGCGTGGTAAAACTTACGATTATAAGATTCAGTACAAACAAATTGAGAGAATTTTCTCATTACCAAAGCCGGATGACGTACATCACTTGATCGTGTTGCAGATTGATCCTCCATTGAGACAAGGTCAAACCAGGTATCCCTTCTTGGTTTTGCAATTTTCCAGGGAGGAAGAAACAGAATTAGAGTTGAATTTGGCTGACGATGTATACGATAGCAAGTACAAGGACAGATTGAAGAAAACATACGATTCACAAACTCACATCGTGATGTCTCAGTGTTTGAAAGGTTTGACTGAGCGCCGTCTCATTGTTCCTGGTTCGTTCCAGTCCAGATTCTTACAAGCTGGTGTCTCCTGTTCCTTGAAGGCATCAGAGGGTTATTTGTATCCTTTGGATAGATGCTTTTTGTTTGTCACCAAACCAACTGTTTACATTCCGTACAGTGAAGTCAGCACTGTAACGATGTCACGTACATCTACCGGTGTTTCTGCATCCCGAACCTTTGACTTGGAAGTAAATTTGAGAGGCGGTAACCAGTCTCATGTTTTTGCTAACATTGACAAGGAAGAACAGGAAACTATCGAAAGATACTGTCAAGAAAAGGGATTAAGAATTAAGAATGAGGAGAAAATTGCTAAAGCAATGTTGGCAAAAGCCATGACAGGCGACGATGACGATGACGATGATGCTGATGTGGATATGGGAAGTGCTGGAGAAGAAGAGAGCGATGATGATGACTTTGGTTCTGGCTCAGAGTCTGATGTTGCGGAAGAATTTGACTCTAATGCGTCTGCATCCGACTCCGATGAGGAGATGGCTTCTGGAGGCGAAGACGCCAAGCAGCCTCCAAAGAAAAAGGCTAAAAACTAAGTTTAAAGCTGACGGTTGGATATCTTTGTACAATAGAAATATTTCTTTCACAATTGCTGTGGCTGTGCCGTATTATAATATCCTGTAATTCTAATCGATGATGCTCGTTATGTGATCAAAGCTTTGTTTTCATTTCCATGGAAGACGCATGCACAATGAACAATTTTCTTTTTTTTTTTTTTGTGTATTTCAACACACATAGGTGGATGCAAACGAGAATGCATGGAGAGCCTTGCCTTTGAAGAATCTAATATTTCCTATTTTGCACTCAAGGCCAAAAGATAACAAAGTAGAGTAAGAGCTTGAGAGAGATTGCGAGTGTACTCGTAACTTCATCTACGTATCATTTTTTGATTCATTCTTGTAGTATCATCTCAAAACAAAAAATTGCCTATATCTCTACCATTTCTAAGATGCTAGATTCCTGGAAGCCTATCTCTAAGCCTTCGCTTCGACTGGAATTGTTCAAAGGATTACACATGATCATATTGTGTCCGGCAAGCAAAAAATGAACCGCAACCCCTTAATATTTTTTACAATAATTGATTGTAGATATCACGGGTGCAATTCTCTGTCTTTGTTTAAATGTCGGATTTCGTCTCCTTTTGTAAGTTCCATTGTCGAAACATTCTTTCGAACCTCTAGTGTGCGATAATTATGAGCCCTTATGGACACTAAAGGCCATGAGAGGGTCATGTGCATGAATATGTGCAGCTCTTCCCGTTTGGGGAATGTCGACAGTAATACTTGTGAATGCTGATAACATAGGAACGACATGGGATATTAACCACACCCTCGGTATTTATTGGACGGTACTTCTGCTAGATTTTAAATATGCTTAATATTTTAAATTAACGACTTAGCTTGCACTATCCTGCAATACCAATATCTTAGTCGACCACGTCTTAGCTTTGTTTCGGTTTCGAAAGCATTCGATACAGCTGCTATTGGATATAATATTATAAGAAGATCAGAGGATAACTCCATTCCACATATTCGTCTGCCTAAAGAAAAAAAAAATTGTATCCATATTAATGTCGACCACTGGAAACAACCTGAAGAGTTTTGAAGTTCCTCTTCGCTCCGAGGCTCGAACTAACGCAACAAAAACGCAATTTTTGCATAACGAAGAGTCCACTCCAGTCATACATGAAGAAACGGAAGATGACTGCTCCTTTAATTATAACAACTACCTCGCTAGCAGCTCACCAAGAGATTCCATTTTTTCTATTTCTTCTTCTGCCTGTGGCTCATCCCAGCAATCACAAGAAGATCATTCTTCACATTATGGACACCACTCTAAGAGATCAGTGAATGATGCAGATTTAGAGGACTTTGAAGGTGTTCAAATTTGCACGATTACTGACATTATTGTGATTTCTAAAGTACATCTTCAAAATGATGCAAAGCCGTTCTACGTCACTCTATAGCCGGAGTTTACAAAATCTTGACATAAGTTGTCTGAAGGCGGATTCACAATCTTATACGAGGTGAAAAAACGGTTCCGCCTTGTCCGTTCGCAAGCTCACTTTCATTAATTATTTTGCAACGCACACATTTTAATTTCTTCCGTTCTATTGAATCGACAGATTATGTTGATCATTATTCCCGTATATTGTTTTCGTTTTGTAATTTATAAACCTGCTTGTGTTTCTTCTTGTTCTTGTAGTGCAGTATTATAGTCTCCAAAATTTACACAGCTATTTTATAGAATGTGTCAATATGCATGTTGGGTGTCCTACATGTGGGGTGAAATTTTGTTCTGAATTTCTGTACAGGGATGTCATATCAAGCCAAAAAATGCAAAATGAAGTTTAAAATATCCAAAGCAAAGAAGTTAAATTGGGACTAACATTAGGAAGGCGGAAGAACCTATACGTTATCTTTGCCGCATTTAAGTGTCATCTCTTACTATTGTCAGCGAACTTTCCCCTTGGATTCTAAAAAGAAAAGAACGTGCGTGCATATTATGGAGTGATGTATCACTCGACTTGGGTATGCTTCTCCTCGCAGGACTTAAGATTATATAAGTGAAAGTTGATTGAAGTCTCGATAATTGCGCTGTCCTTTCTCTACTCGTCAACTATATTATAATTCCTGCAAGTATGGCTGTTCCGTTGGGACAGGTTATCTACTCGGCAGTCAAGCCCATCTTCAAAATCTACTTCATCATTGGGATTGGATTTTTCCTTGCCCGAAAAAACATCCTTACTGTCTCCACATGCAGAGATATATCAGATGCCATCGTGACAGCTATTATGCCATGTTTGATCTTTGACAATATCGTAACTAATATCGAGAGTTCAGACATCAAAAACATTGGCGTTATCTTTTTCTTGGGAACACTTCTATATCTTGTCGGCTCAGGACTAGCCCTATTGATATACTACACTTGCAAATCTCCCAAAGCGTGGTTTGGGGGTCTCATTTCAGTGGGTCTTTTCCCCAATATTTCAGATCTTCCTATTGCCTACTTACAAACAATGTCGAACTCCGGTAGTATTTTCACCCTGGCTGAAGGAGCCAAAGGTGTCGCCTATGTCTGTATCTTCTTGGCGTCTCAAGTATTCTATCAATTCAGTTTGGGTTTGTATAAGTTGGTGAAATACGACTTTCGAGATCAGCTTGAAAACCACGAAGATGCAGAGTCTCAGGTTCATTCATCCTCGAAAAAAGACGCGACTACTAAAGATAGTGGTGATGATGTCACGAGCGATGAAAAGTCAGCGACCAATAGCACGTCCCCAAGATACGAAGGGAATTCCAGACCAGCATCCCACACTACATCTGAGTCGTCTGAAAGCGACAAACGTATTGAGGAAAATGGCTCTTTAGAAGATAACAGTGTGTACCCTACTCGGGTACAGTCTGCACCTATAGAAGATGATGTGTCCAGCTTGAGCTCTTCTGCCATTTCGCGGTCTATCACTCTGACATCTGAAGGCGAACAACAACTTCAAAGAAGGGGGACCACGGGCTCAGTTAATACAAACTATTATTCCTTGAATCCAATCACGTCACGAAGTATTGACCTCCGGAAGATGAAATCGCAAGATATGCAAGATGTTATCAACGAATACTCCGAGTTTGATCGACTTAAAAGTGACGAAGTCAAGAGAGTTGTATCACTAACCAGTGATTTGGGAGTTGAAGAGGTAAAAAAGGATGATACTGAGAAGCCTGTCACATTCTGGGAAAAATTCAAAAGGGGGACAATATCAATGCTCATGAATTTTAGAGCTCCAAACTCTCTATCTTTAATTATTTCCATCATCATTGCGATGTCTCCACCATTAAAGGCGTTATTCGTCAAGACCAGCTTCTACATGCCTCATGCACCTGATTTGAATCCTCCGCTTTCCTTTATCATGGATTTAACTAGTTATGTTGGTGCAGCTTCAGTCCCATTAGGATTGTTACTTTTGGGTGCAACTATCGCACGTTTGAAAGTTAATGCCATTATCCCAGGTTTCTGGAAGACTGTCGTGGCAATTACCGCAGCAAGATTGATTATCATGCCCATTTTTGGCGTTGGCTTAACAACCGGTATTAATAACGGAGGATGGTTCCTGAATGACAAGGTATTGCGGTTTGTGAGTGTGTTGGAGTTTGGGCTTCCCAATGCAACTGCATTGGTTTATTTTACTGCATTTTACACCGATCCACAGGCTGAGGATCATTTGCAAATGGACTGCTTGGCCCTTTGTTTAATTGCTCAGTACTCCATTTTATTCATAACCTTGCCATTTTTGGTTACTTTCTCTCTAAAAGTTTCTTTGGGTTTATAGTGAAAAGTATACATAGCCAGTATCAATACGCATATTTTTCTTTTTTCTACTGCGTGTCGCTTCAAGAATTCCGCACAGCAAGGGAATGTTCACCAGACCTGTATGCAACCCTGGGGCTATGATTGCTTTAGTGACTCGCAAGACATAATTCATTTATCATCCACGTCAACTCTTGACTTTAACATTTTCTCAATTGAGCATGGCGTTATATTACAATTTGGTTTTTGGGTTACTCGTGATCGAGATGACCTTCTTTGGCGTCTTGTCGTTGCCTTTCCCCAGAAATATTAGAAGAAAGGTTTTGCTCACAGCTTCTGCTCCATTCCGCTCCGAACAAGTCCAAATAGCAATCAGATGTATATTTGGCTTTGTACTTGTCTTGTTCATTGATTCAGTGAACAGAGTATACTCTGTCTCTGCTGAATTGCACGCTTCTGCTCCTCAAAATGCTGTAGGAGCAGTTGTAAATGACAGGTCAGAAATTCAGTCTAGAAGGTTTTACGCGCAAAGAAACATGTATCTCTGCGGTTTCACATTGTTTTTGACTCTTATTTTGACAAGAACTTATTCTTTGGTGACTGAGTTGGTTGACACAAAGGATAAGTTGGATGACTACAAGAAGAACTCCGAATTATCCGGTGAATCTACAACCGACTCCGTTGAGGTTGCAAAGTTGAAGCAAGAAGTAGCATTGAAAGATAAGCAATTAGAATTGTTAAAAGAACAGGCGACTAACTTATCGAAAGACTACGATGCAGCATCTACAACTGCTACTAAGAGAACATGAATGGAAATTTGCAGTACGTATCGAGTTTAGTTCTTCGCGAACGAGTTACTTTTATGTTTTGGAATGAACAGAAAGTTTGCGGAAGCTTTACCGAGGATCATCTCTGTAATTTTAATCCAGTCCTTGTAGTCTGTAGATCCCAACAATGTCTCCAATTCATTTCTTCCCTTCCACTTTGGAGGTCTTTCGTTCAACTTGGGTGGAAGTCGCTCAAGTATACCGACTGGGATATATCTGTGGGTGAAACTGATAAACTCACACATGTATCTTCTTGCCACTTCGATACCGTACTCATCAGAGCCCCAGTGCTCAACAGCGAAGTTTGCAAAAGTACGCAAATACTCAAGTCTTTCTGTAGCACTCTTATCCAAATATTGCTCTGCATCAACTTCTTCGAATATCCAAGGCTTGATCAAAGCACCTCTTGCAACCATCACAGAGTCAATTCCTTCAGTATTAACGGCATTGTGCCATTGTTCATAGGTGAAACAGTCACCATTACCAATAAACCACGTAGGGTTTGTTTCAGATGAATCCTTGTCTTCTTCTTTTTTGTGATTCCACTCTTGCACGGTCTTTCCAACTTCGGCAATGTAGTTCCAATCAGCTTCTCTCGTGTATCTTTGCTGCCTGGAGCGGCCGTGTAAGGTAATAGCGGCAACATGTGTATCCGCCAACATTCTGTTGATGAGAGGAATTGCAGTGTTCTTGTTATCTTTGGTTCCAGTTCTAATCTTGAGTGTCACAGGTATGTCACCAGAACAAGCATTCATGCCATTCAAAATACGGACCATTTTAGATGGTTGATCTAAAAGCGCAGAACCTTGGCCTTGACGATAGAGTAAGTCGATTGGACAGCCACAGTTAAGGTTTAACTCAGAAACATTTGGCGCTTCTCTTGAGATGGCTTCAGCAGCTTTACTAGCCTGCTGATGGTGGTTCGTGGCAAGCTGAATACCAAATCCAGGGTATTCAGAAGCATGGGCCTTTGGTAAGGCCCATTCAGGTTTTGTTCCTTGGAGCAATGGAAGCGCAAGAGCCATTTCACTATAGGTGACGTCAGCACCCAAAGTTTTCATAAGACGACGATAGGGCAAGTTTCCCACAGTAGTCAATGGCGAGACAATTTTTGCTCTGTTCAAATTGATCTTCTTCTTTTCAGCAGGAGCGAAAGGAGGTTCAACATACGTAGAAATGTTGTTCTTAATGTCTTCTTGCCTCTTTGCGATATTGGCATCGTTTTGGACTAAGGAATCCAAGTACTTGATGTAAGGAGTAGCTTGTTTGAACTCATACTTATTTTTTTGCAATTGAATTCTATGCTCAGGCTCGATTTTGTTTATCTCATAGTTGGTAAGCTTCGCCTCCTCTATTTTAGCCAAGTCTTTCAAAAGCGTTTTAGTTTCCTTATTGTAATGGCTACTCAACCATCTACACTTCAAACCCGCAGGACAGTATCCGATAGCTTCGAAAACAGGACACTTTCCCTCAATATCGGCAGGCTTGGTGGAGAGATAGTATTCAATGTCGTGAGTATTTTTGCATTTGTCTGCACCAACAGGACATTCTCTAGAGTCATTAGGATCAAGCAAACTCGAGCACAATCTGATTTCTTCTTTTTGCTGCTTCAAGTCTCTTTTCTTGTTTTGACCTCTTCCTTTTTTACTCCTCTTTGATCTGTCATCGTTTTCTCTGTCTCCACCTTCTGCTGCCTCGTCATCATAGTTCTCTTCAGCCTTTGTATTCTCAATGATGTATTCTGCTTTAATAGGAGCAAATCCCTTCTGGCGATCGTCTAAATGAATTCTTTTGGCATTTTCACCATTAACGGCGTCATGGTCTCTCTTTTCTGAAACGGACATTTGAAAGCTGAAAAGTAGACACTATCGCTGAGTGATGCTCATTTTTTCTCCCTCTCACATGAGACTATATGTACGTGAACCAATTACCAACCAAAAGACTTGAAAGTAAAGATTCCTTCTGGAATCAATAACAACTTTTCCTACTTCGCCAGATGAGTTCTACGGTAGTTTGGATTAATCATCATCTGGTATGGAGTTGCAGCTTCCATCGTAGTCTCATCTCTCGCAGTTAATTTTTGTACGCACACCTCATCGATTTTTTTCCATCACCAAAACTCTTTGTTAAAATATGGTGGAGGCTATTGACAAACGAAGAAAGACAGAGACTCTTAATGGTAAAAGAGGATCTAAGGTCCTAAGCCCATTCCGTGCATTGGGAAATGTCTCGAACGAAGTCCCATTCGCCATCGGAACTTTGGGTACCACGTTCTATATTGTCACTTCCGTGGGCAGATCCTTTCAGATTTACGATGCCGCCAACTTGCATTTGTTGTTTATATCACAGAACCAGACCTCGTCCAAAATTACATGCTTGGCCGCACATTTCCATTATGTTTTTGCAGGCTACGGCAACAAAGTTGGAATCTACAAAAGAGGTCGTCTTGAAGCAGAGGTTGAGATTGAAATTTCCAAGACAGCCACAGTCAAGCATATTCTAGTTTTCGGTGAGTATATGGCTGTAGCTTCAACAGATGGCGATTTGAACATTTTCAAAAAACCTGTTGGCTCGAAGCTCCCCACAGAACACTACACCACCATCAGAAGCATCAATCAAGAGTTTGATGGCGAAATTGTAGGCATGATACACCCACCTACTTACCTCAACAAAATCGCTGTGGCTACTACACAGGGTATCCATATCATCAATATCCGTACGGCTAAAACCGTGTACAAAAGTCCAGAGTCTACTTTCAAAGAGCACTTGTCGTGCATTGAGCATGCACCAGCGTTAGACATCGTGGCTGTTGGAACTACTGCAGGTGGTGTATTCCTTTTCCATTTGAAAAAGGGCATAATTTTGGGTGAGAGAATCATTGCCTCTCCAAGCGATGTTGGCGCCAAAGTGGCATCGCTTTCTTTTAGAACAGACGGTTCTCATCATTTGGTCGCTGGATTGAGCACAGGCGATCTTTACTTCTATGACTTGGAGAGAAAGTCAAGAGTCCATATAAGCAAAAACTGTCATGCAGAGAGTCATGGTGGAGTAGCCAACGTGAAGTTCCTCAACGGTCAACCAATTGTGGTGACAAACGGTGGAGATAACATTTTGAAGGAATTGGTTTTTGATCCTCCATTGTCAACCACAAACACAGCTGTTATCACTATTCCCCGTCATTTGCGTTCTCGTGGTGGCCACTCAGCTCCTCCGATCGCCATTATGTTCCCTAACGAGGAAAAGTCTCATTTCATTTATTCGGCCTCGAAGGACCAGAGTTTGTGGTGCTTCTCTCTTAGAAAGGACGCACAGGCGCAAGAGGTATCTCAGAATCCACCTAATACGGGCTCGGCTAAGAGAAAAGCCGGTCTTGTCAAGCTGATGCGTGAACGTTTCCCTGAGATTACATCTTTATCCATGTCGGTTGCACGCGAAGGAGAGTGGGAAAATATGCTTACTACGCACCAGAACGAAACTTTTGCGAGAACATGGAACACCAAATTTAAGCGACTCGGACGGTTCGAGCTTGCAACTGTTGATGGTGGATTTGCCAAATCCGTCTGTGTTTCTCACTGTGGTAACTTCGGTTTGGTTGGTTCTTCCGAAGGTGGAATTGGTGTGTACAACTTGCAATCCGGATTGTTGAGAAGAAAGTACATGTTGCACAAGAAGAAGGCCGTTACCGGATTAGCTATCGACGGCATGAACAGAAAGATGGTCAGCTGTGGTCTTGATGGTATTGTTGGATTCTACAACTTTTCTGACCTGAAGTACTTGGGAAAATTACAACTCGATGCTCCAATCACATCTATGGTTTACCATAAGGGTTCTGATTTGATTGGTTGTGCCTTAGATGACTTGTCGATCGTGGTTATCGATGTCGTCACACAAAAAATCGTTAGAATCTTATATGGACACAGCAACAGAGTAACAGGCATGGACTTCTCTCCAGACGGCCGCTGGATAATCAGTGTCGGACTCGATGGAACTATGCGTATTTGGGATTTGCCGACTGGAGGATGTATTGACGGTGTTCGTCTTCCAAGCGTGGCCACAAGTGTCAAATTCTCACCTATAGGCGACTTTGTTGCTACTACTCATGTATCTGGAAACGGCATCTTTTTGTGGACAAACAGAGCACAATTTCACCCAGTATCGACCAGACATGTGGAGGAAAGTGAGTTCCCGACTGTTCTTTTGCCTAATGTTTCTGGAGATGGAGGAGCTACTATGATCGAGGGTGCTCTCGATTCGAACAACGAGGAAGACTTTGATGTCAACCAAGTTTATCAATCAGTGGACCAAATCAACAAAGAGTTAACAACTTTGTCTGTTGGTCCTCGCACGAAGTACCAGACGATTTTGCATCTTGATATCATCAAACAGAGGAACAAGCCGAAGGAAGCACCCAAGAAACCTGAACAGGCACCTTTCTTTTTGTCGCTCTCTGGAGAGGCCGTGGGAGACCGTGCCATCGTTGCTGAGAATGGTCTTTCGAACTCTTCATCATCCAATAATGGTCATGATGATGAAAACTCCAGGCTCCTTAAATTGAAAAACGGAGACCATCATAATTTCGAATCCGAATTCACTCGTTTGCTTCGTGAAGGTAATGAGGAGGAAGACTACTCTGCATTCTTGAAATATTTGCTGAATGCGTCACCCGCTACCATTGATCTCGAACTCAGGTCGCTAAACTCGTTCCCTCCATTGGGAGAAATGTCTAGCTTTGTCAAAGCACTTACGGAGGGCTTACAAACGAACGCCAACTACGATATTTTCCAAGCGATTTTTGGTTTGTTCTTGAAGCATCATAGAGATGTGATTTACGCTCACCCAGAAGAGAAAGAATTAGTCAAAGCATTAGAAGAATGGAGCTCAGTAAATGCGCACCAAGGAGAGAAGTTGGACGAATTGGTGAAATTCTGCTCCAGCGTGGTAAACTTTGTCTCTTTAGTATAGCATTGATAAACATTGCCGTTTTGTAATATGCATAATATGCCCTTCATCACTTATCTCAGTAAAACATGGAATATGACAGGAAACGTGACGTTTTGTACATCCTACATATTTCGCAACATTATCAACTAGGCTACTCTTTCTGTCCAGAACAATACAAGTCCTTCGCACCTCACTTAGTAATAAAGTTCATGAATGTTGATATAATAGAGCCTTTCAATAGGATCCATCTTCCAGGCTCGTCCAAGATTACATCACTTCTTATTGACGATGGTACGCTTTTCCTTGGTCTTTCAAATGGTGATCTTACCATTATGAAAACGAACGCGGAGCCGGAAATAACCAAGAACTCACCTAGATCAGTCAAGAGCTTCAGGTCATTCAGTGATATCAAAAAGTTGTTCAATGATAATGAACAAAGTCGGTTGTTTCGGATAGAGAAGACTTTCAAAAATGTCACTGCGAATCAAACACCAATCGTTGCCCTCAAATCCCTCCCTCTTTTCAAGGATAACAGGAAAGTGATCTTGGTTGGAAGCTCAGAAATGCTTCAAGTGTACGAATGGGTTGGGTCTCATTTGAATTTGTTAATTAAATTCGAAGAATCAAAGTACTACACAACTTTTGGGTTTATGGAAGTCAAGGACCAGAAACTATTATTTGTTGGAGTTAAGAAAAAACTTATAGTTTTCACCATTTTCCAAAAGTCACGGAATGTTGTTGACTATGTTAATTCTCGTGAAATACTCCTTAAAGAACGTTTAAAAACCCTCGCATGTTATCCTCACCAAGAAAAAGTTCTTTGTGCCCTGACAAACCTTTTACTATTTATGGACGTTAATGGGAATACCATAGAGGAAATATCTACAGCTGACTCTAACATCTTTAACTTCTCACAAGGCTCGTCATTCAATTACTTTGGTCTTAACAATACGACTCCATATATAAAGATTGTTCCGGTTGACGAAGATAACTCGATTGTTGTTCGCGGCTCCCAATTCGGATCTATTGAACACAAAAATGGAACTGGCCTGGTTTGCGACACGAATGTGAAACTTTCTACTGGCCTTATCGACTTTGCATACTTGCATCCGTGTTATGCCCTACTCATTTATAATAAGAGATTTGAGATAGTAAACATCAAAGATGGAACCAAAATTCAAGATTTCTATCACCAGTTGAGCTCGGCTCAAATCTGTCTAGATTCAGAAGGTGATAGTGTGTTCATTGGTTCCGGCTCAAACATCTTTCAATTCAATATTCTTCCCTACCAAAAACAGTTGGATCAATTCTTATCCATAAAGGGAACGAACAGCAAATCTAAACTTAACAAAGATATGAGTAAGGACCTTAAGCTTCAAGGTTTGGAAGAGGCATTATCTTTAATAAGCAATGTCAACGAAAAGGACGATTTCTTCAAGGACCAGAGTGATACTCACATTCTCAATAAGAAGATGAAGCAATTGTTCTTGCGTGACTTGTATAAAGAAAAGGCGTTCATCTATTTCGAAGAATACTCATTGTATCACGAGGCCTTGGTTGATATTGCATCTGAATGGGTATTGTCATGCAGAGATATCCTTTCTTTATTCCCCGACTTTTTAAATGGAGAATATCGAATAGCTAAAGAGGTGACGAAGTCAAGACGCTCCAAGAGTATCGTCAGGAAGGTTAGCATAAATGAAGCAGACAATACGAAATTCAATTATCTTGGTGTCTCAGATTCTCTCACGGAATCTGAAGCCGTGGGTTCGTTTGAGCGTCCCAATGTTGCATTGATTGATCCCAGATCAAAGGAAGACCGAAAACAGCAAAAGATACTGTATTTCCGTAAAGCCGTCAACTATTTGATTGTTTACTTAACCGACCAGCGCCGAATACATTCGAATTTCATGGCCAGTTCACAAAAAGTTCCTTTCATTAACTGGAAAAGTGTTAGTCTAAGCGTTTTTGACATCTATCCAGATATTTCGCCAGATAATGTTGAAGCTCGCCTATTACACATGGCATCCGTGATAGACACATCTCTATTCTTGTGCTACTATTACACTAAGCCAATGCTTCTAGGGCCTTTGCTACGCTTACCGAACAACAAATGTGATGCTGAAACTGTTAATGAATGTCTCTTGAAATCTTTACATGCACATACATCTGAGCTGCAAAATTTCATGAAAGAGTTGCTTGACTTCTACTTTGGTCGTGGTCTTCACGGAGATGCTTTGAACATGATGAAAAAACTCGCTCATGAAAGCAGTGAACATAATGGCGACTCTTTTGACGAGTTTCTAAAGGGTCCAGATATGACAATAGCGTACATGCAACGCCTTGGTAATGAGCATTTAGATCTCGTGTTGAAGAATGCATTCTGGATATTATCTGAAAATAAAGGAGACCTGGCACAGAATGCCCGAGCCATCTTTATGAATGACTCTTACGAATGCGAAAGCTATGATAACTTCAAAGTTTACGATTTCCTCAAGAATACAATGAAGAGAGACGATCTTACTATATTATACCTTGAATGGCTTCTCAATGAAAGCGATATTTTGGACTCAATAACCAAAAAATCGTTAGTGGTGAAGCTATCAACTAAACTCTGTCTCCTTTATTTGAAAAGTTTGAAGTCATTAAAAGTTTCTGATGAAGAATTTTCCAAGAATGAATGCTTCTTGAGTTTGCATCGCATCCTCAGCACTACTAACAATTACGAGCCTTGGACAGTTCTTAAAAATATACCCACAAGTGAAGACAGATTCCTCGGTTTCACGATTTTTATCTATAAGAGATTGGGAGAGCACCAGAAATCAGTCGATGTGCTTTTTAATCAACTATCCGATTTGGATGGGGCCATGAAATATTGTGCGGATGTATACGGTCAACCCCATAACAAAGAGGTTGGTCAGAACCTTTTGCACAAGCTCTTAGAGGATTTACTCATGCACTATGGCGAGAATCAAAGCAGAGTCGTCAAGTTGCTTGAGTTGCAAGGAGATAAAATGGATATTTTGCGAATTCTCACAGCATTACCAAACAGTTTCCCACTACATAAAGTTCGATTGTTCTTTCATGAAACACTCCGCAAACAGGACGAGCTGTTGAATGCATCCCGGATAACTAGCCAATTGTATAAGGTCGGTTCAATCAAGGTGCGAAACAAGTGGTTAGAAACGCAATCTGCTTCAGTAACCATCAATTCGGGGAAGCAATTATGCAACATATGCCATACTAATTTAGGCTATAGCGTTCTCTGCATTGATACAGATGGCCAAGTCGTTCATTATGGGTGTTTGAACAAGAGAAAAACAGACAAGTGATCATGAAGATCAAGACCGGGGTGTGTATATAGTCCAGAGTTTGGGTCGCACTGGAATTCGACGTCAACTTTGGCCAAGGATTGTCGTACAACTATTAACCTGGAATTCCAATCATCCCCTATGCCTCTTCCTGACCCAGAGCCAATTTCTGATACACAGAGCACCACAAACGGGTCCTCAGGCATCCGTCTCCCACCCTTTTCATTTTTGTCTCATGACAACCAAAACCAGCCATCTTTGGCATCGATACTGTCAAGTGGGCAGAGAATGTTGGAAAGAATGTCAATTCCTCACACGACTGGTTCTTCGCAGGGTAATGATGGCCTAATTACTGATAGAGAGCGGAAGTTGCCCAGTCCACACGCTTTGAATATGTACTCCACACAACAGGATGCTAGAAACTTAGATGCTACGCGAGTATCCAACTCGCAAGCAATAGTTCTGACTACAGACCAGACTGCTCCTAAACTGAACTCGGAGTCTCCTGCTGAAAGTCAAGCCAATAGTAAACGAGAAGAGGAAGAGGCGGCAAACGATGCCACTCAACAGCACCGCCATCACCATCACCACCATCATCATCACCATCACCATAAGAATGCTCAGAATCGCCATAATCATCACCATCATCACCATCACCATCACCACCATCATCCATCCCATGAAGACCCTAAAAGACTGTTGTCGAGCAGTAACAAACAAAATGACGGAACAGTCGCGTTAACGTCTTCACAGAAGTCGCCTAGTCTGGGGATTGTAACCCTCAAACGAACTATCGAGGAGCTTTATCCCCGTAGACGTCACTTGGGTACAATAATGTACAACCCTACTACAACCTGGACCACGCTACAGATTGAACAGTTACATGGTTTAAAGCCGGAAGATAAGGACTGGCTCCTTAAATGTCAGAAACAGTATAATGCACGTGCATCCCGTGATGATACAGTGGAAGAAGAGATCTATATCCCTATGATCCCACCTTTGTCAGAGGCCTACGTTAACAGTTTCATTGACGTGAAAATTCCATACAAATTCATCAAATTGCATATCAACGCGCTTGCCGCCGGCAAAGTTCAACGCAGGCGAGAACTCTGGGGTGGATCAGCCGATATCTATACGGATGACTCTGAGCTTCTTAGCGTTTTGACCCACCTAGGACTATTTGAGAATAAAATGGATCTAACTAACATAAATCCTCTGTGGACACCTAAAGATGTTGTCCGTCCTCTCCTAGTTCACTATGATGAAGATGGAGTAGAGCTACTAGATTTGTCTGTCACTTTGCTTTTGTTACCTCCACTTAAGCGCTACCATGGATTCTATAGAAACGGGATCAATTCACGCTCATGGGATGGAGACTCACCACACGATGGACTCTCGTACGGCGTGTTCAGTGTGAAATGGGAAACGTATCAGACATCTGCGGACGAAAGAAGTCTCTATAAGTGGGCCCAGAAGGAAGATATCTTGGATAAGGAGTTTGAGCAGGGGTTACTTAAGGCAGGTAGCGGATGGAAATTTGATGTGGGTTACTATAAACAGCTCAAAGCAAAATTTGCAAATCTCGAACAGAAAGGAAAGACATAAAAGGGAGCGTAAAAGTAATAGCATAGCGCATATAAATTAGTAAACTATCTAATTACAAAGTAATTGAACTATCGTAGTAGCAAAAGTGCGTATTTAGTTTTGCTTTGCTTTGCTTTATATTCAATATCTGTTGAAAATTTTTTGAACTTTCTCTGATAGGTTAGGCTATCTATAAGTGAACTGATGTGACACCCAAGTTTGTGCGACATCCGACAAGGTGCAAGAAAATATAAGGAAACTTTTGTCTTCTGCGCATAACCTTCATCACATAGGAACATTCCAAGGCCCGAGTTTTCTGTGGCCAGAAATATCCGTGGTCCATTTTGATAATGGAGCCTTCTTCTTTTAACGAAACCACACCTACAAGCACACAACCTGGCCTACGAAAAGCACGCTCTACTTCGACATTGAGGAAAAGACCAAAGCGTATATCGCTTCTAGTAAAAAGATTTGTCACTGAGTGTAACTCCATTCTAACGAAACTCAAGTCCTTGTCAGATACCGTGTTAACTGAAGACGAAGACGTTGCAGACTTATTTCAAGTTACAGACGCAGAATTTTTTCTCCACAAGCAGGGCAGTGGAGGTTTGACTAAGGCAGAACGACAGTTTCTTTCTGATTACAAAAACCACAAGTCTCTAGACGCTATTGTTATGCATTACCAGAAGATCGAGTCCGCAGAAACAAACTCCAGCGTTGAGGATCTGGGCAAGATGACATATAAAGATTTGGATGTCACCAGGCTTCGGCAAAAAATGGAAACAAAGGACAATCTGGCTCAACTTGCCTCTGATCTTTCTACTGAAAGCTCACAGGAGCCGGATGACCTCAAAAACCAGAATGTGGGTGAATTCCTATGGGATTACCGTCGCACTTTATGGCTCGAACATGATAAAGATAGTGTGGAAGAGAAGCTTCAAAATAGTGACACGCATGTTGCAATGGAAAATATCCCGCCAAGCTCCTATTCGAAAATATACATGAACTTTATTGAGAAGTCCAAACCCTTGAAAGACGGGAAACGATTCAAATTGAAAGATCTTATTGACATCATTAATGCGGGGTGGGTTCATGACCAGCGATGGGAACGTGCAGCAAAGGGACTAGCATAAATCTTTCAGGTATGTAATTGTTAACGAGATGAAACTTTTTTTTTTCCTTCCTTTTGCTCTTAAATCTTTTCTACGATTTCATTTGAGATCAGTAGTAATTCGACTGCCGTCTGTATACATTCACTGATGAAATATGGAATTGATGAATTAATGACCAAACTATTTTTTGTGTTCTTCAAGTAGCTTACTTGTATACTCTAGCACTCTAATGTCTTGATCTATGAGTTCTAAGCGGCGCTGTAACAAATCAATGTATGATTCTTCTTTATTATCCATTCCTAGTTTCTTTTTGCACTTAGCTAATCGAAGGGCGAGTTTATCTTTTGCATGTAAAAAGTCTTCAAAATTTGAGGCGATATCCTTATTTAGCTGTCTGTCTATCTCATCGCTCAACTCGTGGATTGTTATGATTTTGTCAACTAGTGGCAGACAATTTTGATTAGAGGGAGCGGAATTGTCCTTGATGATGGCCTTCAAAGAATTCGCTAGTTGTTCCGATAATAAGTCAGAATTGCTTAAGTCCTCGCGCTGCCTTTGTTTGGCCTTTAGTAGAAGCTCTTTATGAGTCGGTTCGGCATTCGGTTTGTTAGTTTCCATATTCTAGGAGATAAGATAACAACCAGTAGTGAAGTTTGATAGTATCTGGTGTACTGGTTTTATCACAAACCGTAACTACATATTGACAACAGTCCCCGATAGGCATAATGTCAGGATACTCCTACCTAATTTCTAGTCTGTTGTTTGTATCACAGCCGCAGGAGTCTGACACTCCGGTGGAATCTTTTTATGATGAGGATTATGTCCGGAATTCATCATATACTGATCTCATTGATTTGACATATCATTTAATTACTAGAGGAGCGAATAAGCTGGAGAAAGAATTACTTGTGTTATGGGAGATCAGATTGACTTTATTACTCTTCAATGGCGAGTTGCCTGTGGCTAAAAGAGAGGCGATCAATCTCAACAACGCCCTCTTTCAGCATGAGAATCCAAACTCACCCATTCCTCCTATATCCACGAACGCCAACCCGCTGCCGTTGCTAATTGACAACAATGGATCTAGAGGGAATACTCCACGCTTGTCACCTGCTCCCAATGTGATTTATCCGTTGCCAAAAAACAATGCTGGTCTTATAAATTATCTGTTGTTGATGCTTGTGTTGAGGTTGAAGTCTATGCGCAACCTTGCATTAGTGAATGAACTATACAAATTATGCTATCAGGTGAGACTCAAAGGGTCTAGTTCGAAGGCGATGAGCGTTCAGTTGAAATTGTTCAATCTCAGTTATGAAATTGTGTCTGTTCTCATCACCACTAGAAACTATTATACCCTCTTATCACTTTTGCGATCATTACGGCGAGATACAACCCTCAGAGTACACAAACTGAACGTTCCCGAACCACAGTATCAAACATTTGCATCAAACATCTCATTTCTTTGGATCTATGCCAATTTGGTTGTTTATTCGACTAAAGTGTCTGAACCAGAGCTTTCCACCTATGCTGATCAGTTTGAAAATGAGTGGTCTTCTATTGAAGATGGTACAAAGAAAAGTTTACTTCATGTCATGGGTACATATGCTCCTTTGATAGGAGGACCTAAACCTACATCACCTTCTTTACGGGAACAAGATTTCCACATTAGGACATTTGCGAACATGATTGCAACTGACAAAGTTTCCCCGCGCATTATCTGTTGCACACTAGGAACCTGGGATTTGGAAAATAAGCTTGATAGTAATTTTGATGCAGGCGAAGGTTACTTTGACTCTGGAACATCGAGCCAGTCTTTGAGCAAGATTTATGCCTATATCTTATCCAAATGGTCTGATCACGTCCACAATGTATACGGCATGGAATGAGAGGACGATAAACCAGGGCTGTAACCCTAAGATGCTACTGTCGCACGTGAACAACCAAACCAGAGCTACCATACAGGTGTCTTATTACAGATTCAACCCGCGAATCCTGCACACTCAAGGCAATTTTCTTACTAGGAGGCTCGCACCCATAATTGGGCTCGGCACGATGTGTCTGCGGAAAATTTTGGTGAAAAACTAAATCGCAGATTCTTAAAATTTTCCCTTCACCTAGACTTCATCGATAAAATGGCTGCCCAAGACGTTGTTACCCGTGAATACACCATTAACTTGCACAAGAGAGTATGTATATCAAGTCATTGGTCCTGATGCCCTACGAATTCAAGTCCCGTTATTGTCGTCATTGTTGAGCATATTCCAAGAGTCCACATATGAACATCCAACGGCGTTTGCTCACAGCAAACCCTTCTCCTTATACTTTTCGTTTGCGTTCCATCAGCGAAGAGACTATTATTCTCCAAACAAGATCACCATACAATAGGGCTCATTGCTGAATAAATCCAACTATGAACATATATACTAACAATATAGTTGCACGGTGTTAACTTCAAGAAGAGAGCTCCAAGAGCTGTCAAGGAGATCAGAAAGTTCGCTGCTGTTCACATGGGTACCACCGACGTTAGATTGGACCCAAAGTTGAACACCCAATTGTGGAAGAGAGGTATCCAAGGTGTCCAACACAAGATGAGATTGAGAATCTCTAGAAAGAGAAACGATGAGGAGGATGCTAAGGAAGCTATGTTCGCTTACGTTGAGCCAATCACTGTCCCATCCAACAAGGGTTTGCAAACCGTTGTTGTTGACGAAGATGAAGCTTAAATTCTGTAATTATCATCTTTAACTTCTCATAATACATAAAACTTTGTCTGAGTTTCTGGTGTTTATGGTGTATAATAACGAATTGAAGGCGCTCCTGTGAACCGAAGTAGAAAGCCACAGGTACAGCTCCTCACAAGGTTGATCAAGCCCTTGCAATTACTGGTCAAAGCGATTAGTCCTTGACCCACCTGGTCTGCTAGCTATTACTTTAATGTATCCAGACGTAATTACAGGTTGTCTTTACAAGTTATTAATACTAGAAAATGCCTGAAGTCTGTTAGTATAAGTTCAAGACATACGAAAATAACAACCTTAAATGGATCAGTGTAACTATGACAAAATACCAGGTCATTGCAAGTGAGGAATGTGCTACCAAAACGGCGGCTCCCCGAAGAATGCTCAAAATTGGTAAAGAAAAAAAAAGTTTTCATCATATAAAAGGTTGTTTCGTGTTCGTAGAACATACCGTTTGTAAGTATTGAACGTCTGAGATGCTCGCAATTGTCAAAATTTTGTAGGATGTATCTAAGCAACATGTGCGGGTAACCCTTATGTGTTTAGTATTGAGAGGTCTATATTCCTAAGGACTTTACAAGGGGATTAACTATCTCTAGGCCAGGAGAACAAAATATTGTTGGCTGATATGGCATGGAAATGGTAATGATAGATTTTCGCTTCATTAAATTACGACTTTTCCTGTGAGTGTTATTTTTTTTTACCCTCTTTGATTTTGACGTTCACCTCATTTTCAATAATTTTCAGTCCTGTCATATATTTGCAGAAAATGACGAAAAGAAATCAATTATGTATGGAACACAAAATCATTCAATCACAAACCCAAATCATATGTAATGTGGACATCCAAAATATTGGAACAGTAATAGTACTCATACGGATGAATCTATGATGCGTGGCTCAAATCAGTTGTGGAGAATATTTTCAACTAATAAGGAAATGAACCAGTATGTTGCTCACAATTAGACTACTTTCTTTGCAAGCATACAATATCTCCTTCAGAAACATTACTTTTCTTGGTTTCTTGATGTTGAGATCGCTACAAAATAATGATGGCTGACAAGCTTGTAAGTCCGTAGCTTGATCAACATTAGCCACAAGTGTCAGAAGAATCCCTACTTCTCTTATTTTGCTCCATAACTGCAACTAAACACCACAACTAGTAACTAGAAGCCTCACGATATATCCAAATGCTCGTTTACGTGTAATTACGTTTACGTGACTGATTCCTACTTGGACGTAACTTATCTAACAGAACTGTATACAGCACTTTCCCCAGATAAATTGAGAGCCGAGGTTGATACTAAAGTTTAGCGCTTTTTTCCACCTCAAGGTTGGCTTTTTCTAGGAGAATGCCTATTGCCACGAATAAAATTGAAGGGGAGAAAAGTATCTCTACTAGTGCAGCATTGCACATTGTGAATGATCCTACTTCATTACTGGTTGATGAAGTATTGTTATCTTTTGAGCTCTTCGTTAGACTCTTCCCCACCTCAAAAGCTGACAGGACTTCACAGCCTGATAGTTTGAGATTTGTTCTTTTGAAGTTCGTTGGAGTTCCTGATTATTTCAACTCTTTCAAGATATTCAAAGTTTCTGGGATTGACAATTCCAGTAATAATACATCTTGTGTTACCATCACCAATCACTCGAACTTGATCAAGTTTGGCCATCAATTCACTGTTGACAAATGTGTTGTCCAAAGCATCTCCATTGATTCAATCCCCATACTCGAGAAGGTTTTTGTGGCAGTCCCTCCGACAGTGTACAATATTTTACATACTTCTCCATCCGATTCTGTTAGGTCTCAGTTTGTTTCCAAACTACTTTCCGAGAATGGAGGGGTAGTTTCTGAAAATGACATCATTAGAAGTATTAATGGAGTTGCAGCCCTATGTGAACCTGTTCTGCAAGGATTAGTAAAAGGCTCAACGGACATTATATTTGTGAAGAAGAATGAGTTCGAGGAAGCATCATTTATTGATGACAACCAAGAGGTAGCAGACGAGAATATTGATTTGTCACAATACTTATCTAGCACTTTGGAGCTCGATCAAGACAAACATGAGCCCGAATATCCCAAGTTCGAAGTACGGCCACTACCACATGACATGTCCGTATCTTCTAGAAATTCGCGTCACGAAGATCACGAACTCTATATTTTCATAAACAACAGAGACATTCCAAGCCTTGGATTCCCTGTTTTCAATGGTGATTTGGTTAAGATTTCTTCTGGAGATGCATCTATTGTTGTTAAGTTATTTACACTCGTTGAACCTAATAAGTCTTTTTCGTGTGGCAATTTATACTTATCGCCTATGCTTATCATCAATTTGAATTTAAATGATAGGTGCGAGGTCACACTTAAACCTTGCCACTCGAGCAGTCAGAACTTTTCGGACATCTTCCCAATCGCTAAGACAGCAACTATATCAAGGGTTGCTTCTCCAATTACAATGGACAGGTCTTATCAACAAAGCTTCCTTTCTGAATTGAAAGAGTCTTTTCATTCGTATTTGAAAGTGGTCAGACCTGGAGACTTTTTGCCCATATGCATCGATTCCGTACTTGCCAAAGCCTTGTTTGACGTATCCCTTTCTCAGCAACTGAATTCAAATGAAGAAATCGATAGTGATGCAAATATCATTCCAAAAGGGAATCCAGACTCCGTTGCATGGTTCAAAATCATTGAATTGAGTGGTGATGGAAGTTCAAATTCGTCCCAACAATTCTTAATTGATCCATTGCAAACCGCTCTTACTTCTTCTGGTGTCGAATTCATCGCGTCCCCCGCAAACAAATATAGTAATTGGGTTGACTACTTGAACTTACCACCAGTATTCAACTATAGAACTTCTTTTGAAGATGGTTCGATATTCAGCTACGCTCAGGAGTTTTATCGTATCATCACCACAGATATGAGCACATGCAGAAAAGTTGATTTGAAGACGACAATTTTGCTCAATTCCATGTCAAGAGGATTAGGAAAAACAACATTAGTGCGCAGTTTGGCTATTGATTTGGGTTTGAATTTAATTGAGCTCGACGCCTTTGATTTCATAAAGCCAGGCGCCGAATTAAAAAGTATAGGCCTCTTAACAGGGAAAATCGAAAAACAACTCATGGGTCAGCCAGAAGATCTGTCGATTTATCACATACTTTACATCAAGCATATTGAGAACCTCTGCGTGCAATCGGATGAAAATGAGCAAGGAGCCAATTTGTCCACTTCTCTATCATTGAAGGTTGTCCAAACACTTCAAGATTGTTTGGCAAGGTACAGAAATATGGTTCTTGTAGTCAGTTGCAATAATATTGACAAGCTAAGCGCTAACTTGCGACAAATAGTCAAGTTTCAGATTGATGTTTCGGTACCTAGTGAGAAGGAACGTTTGGAGATATTCAAATATTTGCTAGACATTGAAACAAGAGTGTTGAACAATGAAATGATTCCAGATGCATATGAAGACAGAGTGGAGTTTGAAGATAAACTAGACATCAATAAGGTGCAAATCGACATGAGGGGCGATGTCAGTTACCAGTCCCTTGCCTTACAATCTGCGGGGTTGACACCAAGAGATTTATCTTCTATCATTAGGAAGGCGAAACAGTTCGCAATCAAAAGGTTATTCAAATTGGCGAAGAATAGTCATATTGAGTTGAAGAAAATCATCAAAGTTGGCAATGGTGGACATGTTGTGTTGATTCCAGAAGACTTTGAACAGGCAATTAATGAAGCAAGGAACCAATTCAGTGATTCCATAGGTGCCCCAAGAATTCCAAATGTTAAATGGGAAGATATTGGAGGTTTAGATTTAGTCAAAGATGAGATTTTGGATACCATAGATTTACCTTTGAAACATCCTGAATTGTTCAGCAGTGGTTTGAAAAAAAGAAGTGGTATTTTATTCTACGGCCCTCCAGGTACAGGTAAAACTTTGCTTGCAAAAGCTATTGCTACTAACTTTTCGTTGAACTTTTTCAGTGTCAAAGGACCCGAATTGTTAAATATGTACATTGGTGAGTCCGAAGCAAATGTTCGCAGAGTATTCCAAAGAGCACGAGATGCGAAACCTTGCGTGATTTTCTTTGATGAATTGGATTCCGTTGCTCCTAAAAGAGGTAATCAAGGAGATTCTGGAGGAGTGATGGATAGAATTGTATCGCAATTATTGGCCGAGTTGGATGGAATGAGCGGCGGCGATAGTGGGGAAGGAGTTTTTGTTGTTGGGGCAACCAACAGGCCAGACTTATTGGATGAGGCATTGTTAAGACCGGGCAGATTTGATAAAATGTTGTACTTGGGTATCTCTGATACAAATGAAAAACAAACGAAGATCTTAGAGGCCCTTAGCAGAAAGTTTCAGCTTAGTGATGATGTTGACTTGGCTGAAATATCCCAAAGATGCTCTTTTACATACACAGGCGCTGATTTCTATGCGTTGTGCAGCGACGCGATGTTGAATGCCATGACGAGAACTGCAAACGAAGTTGATAACAAGATTCGATTATTCAACGAAGCACGGTTGTCCGAAGAAAAGGAGCCTGTCTCAAGCAGATGGTGGTTTGACAACGTTGCTGGGGCCGATGATATAAAAGTGTTGGTAACAATGCAAGATTTTAGCAAATCACAGAGTGAAATTGTTCCCTCTGTGAGTGCAGAAGAGCTAGCTCATTATTTGAGAGTGAAGGAGAACTTTGAAGGAGGCAAGAGCAATCCACAGCAGAATGGAAACAATGCAGAATTTGAAAGATTAGAGTCTCTGAGTCAAAGCTTTGAGGCAAGTCTCTCCAATGGCCACGGCCAGAATTTGGAAGCAGGATTCTCCAATGGCCACACAACATAGCATAATGAATATATGACACTGCAATAAATGCTTATCGCCGGAAAAGATAGCTTTTTTCCAAAACCTCTTTTGCCTGATTGATTTTTTGCGAAAGATAGACGCTGCCGTGTCTATCAGGATGGTTCATCACCATGAGTTTTCTGTACCGCTTCCGTAGAGTGTCCTTGGTCAACGAAGCAATGTCATCGGCATTTATTCCCATGATGAGTAATGCTTCTCTTTCTGTCATGTTACGTTCAAAACCTTTGGCGTCAAACGTTGCCTTTAAATAACGGATATGCGAAGATGGATTGACATCTTGAGCAAGATATGTAGACGACGGATCCTCAAGACGGATTCTGTTCAAAGTGGCAAACATTTGAGGAGTCAATTGCCGATAACGAGCGACAGTCCTTAAAAGTGCCTTTGTAGTTAAGGCGGCAGCGGTGATTCCCACGCCTATTACAATGGGTAGAACCATGGTGATGATATGAATCCTCCCATTTGGGTATATGCACACACATGAAGCAACTGCGCAAGGCCCGTGGAATAAATGTGGCAAAGAACAAAGACTAAAGCACAAAGATTAAGCTGAAAGACATCGTTTTCGGTCTGGAAGAAGGTTGCTGTACCAATTTTTCACACCCAATCACGTTTTGTCAGTTTGGTGATTTAAAGTGGTGGGCTTGCCTGATGCAGGGGAATGAAAGAGTAAACTGAAGGTGGTGTGTGCATGCAAATAGCACCATTCGAAGAGAATAAGAATATGCGCTTACACGGCCTGAAGAATGAAATACTAGGGAAATACCACGCATTGTGAAACAGACACAGGAAATGTTTAAGGAGGTGCTCCCATGATCCAAGCCCTGTAAACGCATAAGAGCTTCATGCGGAACCAAGTGAATAACGGGGCTATCATCTGACATCTGCATCAGGTGCTTCTTTGCAGATCCGGGGTGCGAAAGCCACTTCCGAGGGCACCCTCGTGCATTCCCAGCTGATGCCACCAAGTGCCCTTTGGCAGGGTCAGAGGGCTGTAATCCACTCCAGATAGTAAATGCAAAGAGAAATAAGCTTCAGTATCCCCGACTAGGCACACGCATGTGCGAAAACTGACGGCAAGAACGAAAAGTGTGAGAGTTGCGGCCCATGTTCAATAAGGTTATTGCGCCCGCGCTCTGCGCTCGGACGTCCCACAAAATCAACTCCGGCCGACACCCAACCGGATGCACTAAAGCATATATATAGTGCGAGAATCTGGCTCTCTTTTTTTTTTTTGCTGTTCTCTTTTTATCTTCAACTACATTTAGCCACACATAAACTAGTACCCAAGATGTCCCAATCCACTTTGCAATGGTTGTCTCAATTGAACACCTCTGAGATCCCTAAGCACGTTTTGCGCCGTTCCTCTATCATCGGTACCATCGGTCCAAAGACCAACAACGCTGAGGTGATGGTCAAGTTGAGAAAGGCTGGTTTGAACATTGTTCGTATGAACTTCTCCCACGGCTCGTACGAATATCATCAGAGCGTCATTAGCAAGGCGGGAAAGTCCCCATAACTTTTCCCCTGGCCGTTCATTGGGTTATTCCTTTGGACCACCAGGGTCCCAGAAATCCGAACTGGTTCCCCCGTCAACGAGGTTGACTAACCAAATTGAGCCAGGTCACGAGATGATCTTTCACCACTGACGAAGCTTATGCTAAGAAGTGTGACGACAAAGGTTATGTACGTTGACTACAAGAACATCACCAAGGTCATCTCTAAAGGGCAGAATTATCTACGTTGACGATGGTGTTTTGTCCTTTGAGGTTCTTGAAGTTGTTGATGACAAGACCTTGAAGGTCAAGTCCGTCAACGCCGGTAAGATTTGCTCCCACAAGGGTGTTAACTTGCCAGGTACCGATGTTGACTTGCCAGCTTTGTCCGAGAAGGACAAGGCCGACCTCAGATTCGGTGTCAAGAACGGTGTGCACATGGTTTTTGCCTCTTTCATCAGAACCGGTAACGACATCAAGGAAATCAGAAAGGTTTTGGGTGAGGATGGTAAGGACATCCAAATCATCGCTAAGATTGAGAACCAACAGGGTGTCAACAACTTCGATGACATTTTGAAAGAAACTGACGGTGTCATGGTTGCCAGAGGTGACTTGGGTATTGAGATTCCTGCCCCACAAGTTCTTGTTGTGCAAAAGCAATTGATTGCCAAGTGTAACTTGGCCGCTAAGCCAGTCATTTGTGCCACTCAAATGTTGGAGTCTATGACTTACAACCCAAGACCAACCAGAGCTGAGGTTTCCGATGTCGGTAACGCCATCTTGGACGGTGCTGACTGTGTCATGTTGTCCGGTGAGACTGCCAAGGGTAACTACCCATTCGAAGCTGTCTCTATGATGCACAACACTGCCATTACCGCTGAAAAGGCTATTGACTACTTGCCATTGTTCAACGGTCTTAGAAGCTTGGCTCTCAAGCCAACCGGAACCACCGAAACTTGCGCCGTTGCTGCCGTTGCTGCTGCTTACGAGAGCGGTGCTTCTGCCATTGTTGTTTTGTCTACTTCTGGTTCTACCTGTAGATTGGTGTCCAAGTACAAGCCAGACGTTCCAATTATGATGGTTACCAGAAACAGCAGAGCTGCCAGATACTCTCACTTGTACAGAGGTGTGTACCCATTCATCTACGACCAGGACAAGGTTGAGAACTGGCAAGAGGATGTTGAGAACAGATTGAGATGGGCTGTGGCCGAGGCCATTGAGTTGGGCATCATCAAAAAGGGCGACTCCATTGTCACCGTGCAAGGTTGGACCAGAGGTTCTGGCCACTCCAACACCGTGAGAATTGTCCAGGCCTAGATACTTCACTTCATAAACGTTTACTTAATGCCATGAATTTGCGAGATTTGTATTTGTAGCTATCTTCAAGAGAAATGGCAAAAACAAAACTCATCACATTCTCTTGTCTTCCGAGACAAAGACAAGGCGCTCCATTCTCACATAGTCGCATTGTAAGTATTGTTGGCGCGCATGTGCAGGGCCCACCCAATTATGCTTCGTCTCACTTTTGCAAGTCTGTCATCTACTTGCTTTTTCTTCCTACCCGAATCGTCTGCCGCATGTCTTCTCGTATACTTTTTAGACGCGCAACGGCGGCCAAAATGCATCTGTTGGCAAGATGCTATGCGGTTCCACCGCAAAGTCAGCCAGAAAACTCGGGTCCAGACACCACCCATTTCGGTTTCCAGACTGTCAAAAAGGATGAGAAGGAAAAGTTGATTAGAGGCGTGTTTTCTTCAGTTGCTTCTAATTACGATGTGATGAACGACGCAATGTCTTTTGGCGTCCACAGACTTTGGAAGAGCCATTTCATCAACAGACTAGATGCTGGTATGAGACCTGGATCTTCGCGTCCATTAGACTTCCTTGATGTTGCAGGTGGAACTGGTGACATTGCTTTTGGTTTGTTGGACCACGCAGAAAAACACTACCATGACACTCAATCCACCATGACTATTGCAGATATCAACCCCGACATGTTGGCGGAAGGTAAATTGAGATACGCTAAAACTAAATGGAATGATGGCAAGAACAGAGTACAGTTCTTGGAACAAAATGGCGAGACCATGGATGCAATCCCAGACAACTCTAAGGACGTGTATACTATCGCCTTTGGTATCAGAAACTTCACCAACATCCAAGCTGGCTTGAACACCGCTTACAGAGTGTTGAGACCAGGTGGAATTTTTGCGTGTCTCGAGTTTTCTCATGTTGACAATCCTGTTGTGGACTACATTTATCAAGCTTACTCGTTCAGTATGTTGCCTTTGATGGGCCAATTGATTGCTGATGACAGAGACTCTTATCAGTACTTAGTGGAGAGTATCCAACGGTTCCCTAAACAGGAGGAGTTTTCTGCTATGATCGAAAAGGCTGGCTTCTATGTTCCAGAAAAGGGCTATGAGAACTTAACTTTCGGAGTGGCCAGCATTCACATTGGTGTTAAGCTTTAGGCCAACATTCTTTTATACACATACACTCTATATACCTTCAATCATATGCAATGCTAGAAGCGGATCTTCACACAATGAAAGTGCTGTCACATATTCTGTTCCACGGTTTCCTTCAGAGTCCATATGTATATCGCCACTAGTATTCAGGTTGGTGATGTCACCATTTATTATTTTGAAATCTGTGTTCACGGAAATCCCAGATCCAACAGTCCCTTGAACATTAAGTTCAATTTCAACGTCTGAAGAGTTTAATTCTATGTCTTTTAAGCAAATGGTGAGCCTCTTCTCGTTTTCAGTTGCATCAAACGAGTCACAGTCGCGAGAATAATTGGGGAGTATTATCCTCTTGCTTGACAAAATTCGTCAAATCTGTATCTGAATTAAACATCACATAATCCATTGATTCCCCAGATGCAAGCGTGTTCAAATTGAGTAGTTCTTCATCTGTAACCCCTTCTGAAAGGTTTAGTGAATCCTTTAACTTTTGGGCTTATTGGTCTCGACAGTTTTGGCGACGCAACAAATGTTGTATCTGGACTTTGCATCACATTATCGACAAGACTGGAGAAGACAATGTAGTTTCTAATTGTAGGAATAATTTTCTCAAGTTGGGTTAATTTTGTTATTTCAAAAGACTCCACAGCTACCAACTCAGCGGTATCGTCAGAAGTAAATGAAATAGAGATATTTTCACCATTCCTTCTAGCCAAAAATTGAACTGCTCCATCCTCTTTGAGCAGCTTGAAAACTTCTGGCTCTCTTGGTTTCTTTGCTTGCCCGTAATTAGTGATTCCAAAATATTCAATATGAACTGATGGCATAAAGACAGGAAAATCAAGTCGGAGATGCAAAGCCCAGTTTGGACTCGAAAAACTGGTAACACTTTGATGATTGTGGAGATGAGAATCATCTTCAAACGTGAAAATGTAAGGTTGAAGGAGGCCTTGTGAAGTTGAAAGATGCCATTTTTGGTCCTTTGCTTCCTTTAAAACATCCAAAGATTGACTTTCACCTTCCTCGATTGTTAGGATTGCCTTATGTACTCTGCTGTTGCAAGGTGTGGCTCCATGTTTCATTACTTCACTCAAACGACGCGACTCTTTCCAAAAATGTAGAAAAACGCCCAATCTTTGAGTTTCTGGATCGTTAAGATAAATCTTTCCGAAGCGACTTTTCCAGCCTGAGCGAATGTCTGTGATCCCTGGGTTTAGGTTTGTTTCCATCGCATGCACAGCATTCAAATATAAGGCAATGTTATCTAGGTAAACAATCAAATCACCATCTAACGGCGACATACTATCGAGGCAGGTTAAGTATTTCAAGTTAGTGGGAAAATTTCCCAAAACGTTATTACTGAGATTCTTCAATAGTATTGCTTCTGCGACGGTTGAAGAGTCATTCCTCGTCCTAAGGAAGGAAAGACTATTCGCTTGCAGAAAAACAACGTTGATAGTATACTCAGATTGCTTGGATGTGTATTTAGAGGCACGTTCAACAAGCTCAGCATCACTTTCGTCTATCGTCAGTGAGTGGTTCCAGAAGAGTGG